AAGGGATATTAAGAACAACACAATCGTGTTAAATTTTGCGACTAGCTTGAGGTGATTTGGCCATGTGAGGCCGGTTAACTTCCATAATACAAACATATAACATACACTTTTACAAAACCTGAATACCTGGTCTGTTGTATAGTTAACATTAAAACCGAGTCACAGGAGAACAGAACTGTAATAAAACAAATGTTTCGCGGAATAAGCGACTCCTTGATCGAACTATCCAACAACAACAAGAAAAAGATCAATTGATTTGAATTATTTGGATCAACTATCTATATACATAGAGAGGGAGTATTGATATTGGCAACGAACTGAACACAGAAACGGTCATGCTAACATGCTTATTTCTAACATTACATAATAACAGTGTCTTTTTAAATTAATGTAGCGTTCCTGCATTGGTTGGAGACAATGAAGACTTGCTAAATATAATAAAATCACTTAAGAAGATAAACAAAAGAAAACAGACACATTATTACAATGTCGAACGCAAATAAATTGAGAGTGTTATAAGGGATATAGCGGAAGTATCAATGGACGACAAAATCCTAAAACAGTCCATCTTTGTATAACTACACTCTCCTAACAATGCACAATAGCTCAGCAAAGTGTACTGTATCATTAAGGAGATGGTGTGTTTGAAAACCATGTGTTAATTCGAATATTGAGGAACATAAAGGTCAGCGATCGGAAATGCAAACACCTCTTTCGAAAGGACGGATGCAGACGCCTCTTTCGTGAGGAAGGATGCAGACACGGCCTCTTTCGTGAGGACGGATGCAGACACCTCTTTCGTGAGGCCGGATGCAGACACCTCTTTAGTGAGGACGGATGCAGACACATCTTTCGTGAGGACGGATGGAGACACCTCTTTCGTGAGGACAGATGCAGACACCACTTTCGTGAGGAAGGATGCAGTCACGGCCTCTTTCGTGAGGACGGATACAGACACCTCTTTCGTGAGTACGGATTCAGACACCTCTTTCGTTATGACGGATGCAGACTCCTCTTTCGTGAGGACGGAGGCAGACACCACTTTCGTGAGGACGGATGCCGACGCCTCTTTCTTGAGGACGGATGCAGACACATCTTTCGTGCGGAAGGATGCAGACACCTCCTCTTTCGTGAGGATGGATGCAGACACATCTTTCGTGCGGAAGGATGCAGACACCTCCTCTTTCGTGAGGATGGATGCAGACACATCTTTCGTGAGGACGGATGCCGACGCCTCTTTCTTGAGGACGGATGCAGACACATCTTTCGTGCGGAAGGATGCAGACACCTCTTTCGTGATGAGGGATGCAGACGCCTTTTTCGTGAGGAAGGAGGCAGACACCTCTTTCGTGAGGCCGGATGCAGACACCTCTTTAGTGAGGACGGATGCAGACACATCTTTCGTGAGGACGGATGGAGACACCTCTTTCGTGAGGCCGGATGCAGACACCTCTTTAGTGAGGACGGATGCAGACACATCTTTCGTGAGGACGGATGCAGAAACCTCTTTCGTGAGGACGGAAGCAGACACCTCTTTCGTGATGAGGGATGCAGACGCCTTTTTCGTGAGGAAGGAGGCAGACACCTCTTTCGTGAGTACGGATTCAGACACCTCTTTCGTTATGACGGATGCAGACTCCTCTTTCGTGAGGACGGAAGCAGACACCTCTTTCGTGATGAGGGATGCAGACGCCTTTTTCGTGAGGAAGGAGGCAGACACCTCTTTCGTGAGTACGGATTCAGACACCTCTTTCGTTATGACGGATGCAGACTCCTCTTTCGTGAGGAAGGAAGAAGACACCGCTTTCGTGAGGACGGATGCGGACGCCTCTTTCGTGAGGAAGGAAGAAGACACCGCTTTCGTGAGGACGGATGCAGACGCCTCTTTCGTGAGGAAGGATGCAGACACATCTTTCGTGAGGAAGGATGCAGACACCTCTTTCGTGAGGAAGGATGCAGACACCACTTTCGTGAGGACGGATGCAGACACCTCTTTCGTGAGGAAGGATGCAGACACCCGCGTTGGTAAGGACTAATTCAGGTTTGTCTTTCGTATGAGTTACGGGAAGAAAATTGTTTTGTGAGAACAGCTGCAGACATGTTTTGGTAAGAACGACTCCGCATACATCTCTTTGGCGAGGATGACCCATTTTACCGGAGGACGGCTGCAGACACTGAGAATTGAAGCAGACATATCTTTCTGTCTTCCGATTTCCTATGTGGTACAGACAGCTGCAGCCAGATCTTTGGTGAGGATAGCTGCGCAGTCACCCCTTTTGTAAGAAGTTGCTCCACTGACACCTCTTTATAGCGGACTGGTGCCAGACAACTCTGTGATGAGGACGGCTGCAGACACTTCTTGTGGAGAGGACTTTTCTTTTATCCAGCAGGCTCCAGCGCAATTAATACCTGTGGAGACAACATGTAAGTTCTTGTTTTGGGATGAATTGATAATAATTATTTAAAACATTTATACAGCTCCCAATATAATCAGCTGTATTTTACCACACATACGTAGTCATCCTACAATAAAGAAAGAAAGAAAGAAATAAGAACAGACCTGAAACAGATTAGCCCACTTTAATTTGTCTTGCGATGTTTTTTTATTTATCACACTTTAATATTCGTCAAATATCTGCTGATTTTTTTCTAGATCCCAAAGAGGGCGGAAAAAATCCCTATGGTTGATTTTGTCCGACGTTTCTATATTTGTTACATCATTGTAAAAAGGCACCATGAATTTGATGTTGAACCGTATCGTTCTATGCATAACCATTCACTAAATGCGAATGTACAAATGGGAAAACCACCACCGACAACCTGGAGATCGTAATTATAAGCACGAAAACCTAAACATTAACAAATTATAGTACTATGTTGAACAAAACAGGTCAGTTTAAATTGATTCGCGTCAGATAATAACTCTAGGTCAGACAGCTTATATATCACCTTTCGTCTTTTGGCTTTGTCGCCCGCGAAAATACGCCTAGCGACAAAACAAAATAACGATTGAGAAAAATTTCAAATATCAATTAAGAACCGTAAAGTTAGTATACTTTCTGACATTTTTTAATATGTAATGAGATATAAAACTAGTAACATTTAATTTGTCAGTTTGAATACTGAAAATGTGACTTGTAGGTTTACCGCAATTTTTCACTGTTTGATTATCAGATGATGCTAAGCCTTCCATTCGAATGTTTTTATACATGAAAGACAAACAATTTCTTTATTATCTTAACTAAAGTCACTTGATGACAAAATAGTAGTGAACAAAGAGAAGTAACTCGAGGAAATCATTTTGACTTCCAGCTATACATAGTTCAAATCCGTGGTTGTCATATGATATCAGTTTTATTTTTGAAAAGAAAAACATATGAGATATCAATAATCTTATATAAGCCTGTATCGCTTTCGGAATTGACCAGAGCGATACTTTCCATTCAGTTCATTCAAAGATTTTCTGTAATTTTGTACATCTTTGCAGAGATGTATAATACATGTATACGTCTCTGATCTTTGCAGCGTATACAAAGATATTAATTTACCTACAAACTTAATGTTCTTGATATAAGCAAATATTACCAAATAATAGCAGATAACGGTAAAATGATATTGAGTAACCCATTCAGCCTTCTTGTCAAGCATGACAACATTTCGAATATGGCGCCAAAGATATCGCTATTATATCCCCAACTAGTTTGATGCAGTACAATGTCGTCAAAATTGTAAGTAGTTGTGCTGAACTGTAATAATTAGAAAATTAAATTATTTTCCGGTTGAATATAATATCTATTCCACTCATATGGCAGAATATACCGATATTTTCTGGAATGGCGAGATCGATAAATGCAGTCTTTGTAAATAGTTATATTGTTGCATGCTTAAAAATCAATAACTGTTTTTTTTTTATGTTGACCTTTTCATGTATCATATGCAAGTAATTTAGATTCTCGTTTTGAATTGTATCTATCAATTATTGATTTAACACTGTAGAGTCATGCTAACTGCGCTGTCATATGACCATATAGATATAGGTATTTAGAAATGTTTCTTTCATCTTTTGTTTATTTTTATGTCCAATATCATTTCAGCTTTGCTGCGTCCTCTGTTGCAAATATAACGGTAATTTTATTCATTTTTCAGCAAAGTGTATCTTCTCTTGCTTTTTGCTTATGATAATATTATCAGTTATATATATAAGCTAGTGTTTGATCGTGCCATCTGTAGTATTTACATGTGTCATAGATTATTTTTTTTATGTTTACTGTGATAACTGTTTGAACATTTTATGAGAGTTACGGTATACCACGGAATTAGTCCGTGGGTATACGTATATGTTTTAGATACCGGGGCAACAAATTTCACTTTTACGCCACGAAAAGGGAGCTATGAACAATGTAGTATGCTAGTGACGAGACGTGTCTAATGACTATGGTGACATAATTGATACTAATATTAACATATCTGATATTTTGCTTTACTGCGTGTCTATAACGTTATAATTATATTGAGGTCGGTCGTGAAAAGCTATCAAGTTAATTAGAGTTTGTGCTTAATCAGTCACGACTGAACCTGCTCCAAATTGCTATTTCAATAAATTGGTATATATACTGACAGCAATGCGAAAGACAATGCCAAGCTTTATATATATACCTACGTGAGGTCATGGTTTTCTTCTACCATTCCAAAAGTAAATATCCCGACTCCCTTTTAGTAATTTAATAATTGTATTTTCCTCAGTATTTTTTTTTCGTGTGAATAGATCTTATCCCGAGGTCTAGATTTAGGTTTGGTAATAGCGTATCTCTACGCCTTTTACTTTGAAAAACCTAACCGGATGCTTGGTGACGCTTTCAAGGATGACAAGGAATAATCACATTACTGGTCTGGTAGTCCCACCAAAGTAGACTATTCCCTTCCATCGTCACCGAGAAAGAATATATATACATTGTAAATTCGAGAACGAGGTTTTGTTTGACGACCTTTCACTTTGACCTCTCACCCGTCAAGAAAACATTCCAAGATGGCGGGCCTCACATTGAAAAAAGACGTCAATATGAAAACACGGAATACACATTCGTCTGGTTGGTATTTTATGATATATTAGGAAAGGGGAAACTCGACAAATGTCTATTTTACGTGTTTGTCTTCATCGTTTCAGGTTTAAGTGTCACGTTTAGAGTAAATACCCATTCAACATCTCGTACAAACTTCCTGCTTCGTTACAAAATTTAGCATGACGGGGTCACTGATGACACAGTAGAGTGGCGTGATGACATACGTAAGACAATGGTGTCGTCTGATTATCTAACCATGTCTGTTTTGTAACGGCTTTACTCTGATAAAAAAAACACTATTGTATACATCGAAATCATCAACTGACCACTCCATTGTTAAAATATAGGCCAATTCGAATTATCGGAGTAGTCAATTTTTGATTTTACTAACAATGATTTAAAATCTCGAACTAGGCCTAGTGTACACATATTGGTATTATAGTGTGAAGATATATTCAATTTTGGTCTCGTCGTCTTCCTTCTGGTGTCTAGATTATGGTTAAATTGACCATGATGACAAGACTTGATTTGACTTGCATCTTATTACTGTAATATATATATTAGGCCTATTGTATTGTTCAACACAACCAAATAAGAGGGGTAACATAATGATATGAAGATACGTTTTGCTGATCTGGCTTTTTTCCAATGTTAACCACAAAGCTTTAGGTGTGTTGTCAAATTCATTACATTAATTAAATTATATTACAGCTGGGCCACAAAGATCGACCATGACTGCATGAAATGAATGGCCATAGGATGATAGCTATAAACTGTGGTTAGGGGGACAGTTTCATTTTTTTGCCTCCATTGAAACCTCCATGTGTATTATAGACAGTATGTATCACATTTATAAGGACATTGGAAAATGGGATCTGTGATGGCCCTGTGATAATTAGATTCTCTATAACACATGTACAGCAGCGACTCAAGTGACACATTTCATGTATTTGTTCTATTTTCAGAATGATGTGACAATAACTGTAGACCAGTTTGTAGATGTAGGAGGCTGATCTCAAGGGTGGAGCTCTGAAGGTGACCATGGTTACCCACGCCAAACTCCAGTATTATCGCCACAACTATGGCCTGGTGTGTATCACTGGGTCGCTGGGGTGTCGCTGGCACCGCTACAAACAATCCCTGCGTGATAACAGAAAGGTGAGTTATTCACAGTTGAAAGTTGGCTCAGGTGTTTATTGCTGGCACACTGGCAGATTTATTATACATTTTTGTACGTAATCATTTTGACATTTTAGTTGAAAACTCCTTAGCCAATGGATTGATTTAAATGAAACTAATTAGAATTCAATATCAATTATCAGAATTGATTAGATACATGCATAATCATTTAATGTGTTAAGGTAGCATTGAATGTATGTATAATTTCAAAATTTTAGTCTGCACTAAATAGCATCAGCATCTTATGGGTGGTGGGCCCCCCTTTTTCTGAATTATATTCCAGATTAGTGCTCTGACAAATTTTATGAAAATTGCTTCATGTATCATTATGTTGTATAAAGTTCACACATTAAAATAAGCCTTTTTTAACCATTTCTTGGGTGGAATCTTACAGTTCTGTGTAATAATGCTAATACATTTACATGTAAAATGTAATTCATTTTTAGTAGTAGCTATATTTTGGCATAGTACTTATGATGTAGCCACCGAATAAAACACTTATATATCATCATGATAAAATATCGTTTGTAATTATTTAGATACATGTATACATGCATGGATGGAGAGTTATATATGTATATTTAGATACATGTAACATAGTAACGTGCATGGGGCTTTCTCTTGTTTTATACTTACAGATGGACTTCTGTGTGTTTGGGATCATGTCGTTAACGTTTCTCTTCCTCACCTTTCTCCTGTATGTCATTCTGATATCAAGAAACAACTTTGACGATTTTAATTGGTGAGTGATTAATAATGACCAGTAGGTACAAATAGAATGGTCGTTAGCTAATGTATGATTACCTAGTTGACACATTTACTGGTTACTCAGATGAAAGATCTGACTGGTTTGACAATCCTAATGAAGGCAAAATTTCCTCCCATCTCTTCGTATTTAAGATTAATAGAATTTCTCACCCCCTGAATCTTTCCCCGAGGGTTTATATTCCCCTATCTCACCCACAGAGGGGTGAATGATTCTTTTTCTCTTACCCTGTTCACCCATTGTGTATCATATACAAAACGTTATGTTAACGTCACAGGCTAAATTCAGGGTTGACGTGACGTTGATGGATTGTTGAGGTGACGTCATTTTATTGTTGAAGTGACTTCATATCATTGTTATGAATAGGGGAATCCCCCCATCTCAACCCTAAGGTGAGACAAGGAAATCTCACACCGGTAAAAGTGGGGATACACCTGCCCAGGGTAAGAGAAACATGTGTCCCATGTGGAACACCCATGTGGAATTAATACGTCTATCCCACATGAGGCACTCGGACTCAATGACCTGTATTATTATGATGTCACAATCAGATGACAGTGTTTTATTAATGGGTCACAATTGAAAATGCGTCAAAATGTCGTATTACTGACAGGCAATCCTACCATTAGCAACGTTAACACCTCAAAAACAGAATTATTGTTGTACAAGCTTGTCCTGAAAGTCTTGCATGAATCTGTGATTTGGAAGTATACCCAAATATGGCCTTAGTTTGTATAATATTTGGTATATTAGTTTGCTATACTTACTGTTGCCTTTGCGTTTTCTGTCCTGTTTTAGCCAAATTCTGGTAAAGAGGTCAGAGAAATAGCGTCAATCATCATGCAGGCATGAACAATATGGATATTCTACCTTCGGGTGCAGAATTTGGTGTCAGAACCTTGGCAAAGCCACGTGCACTGTTCTGACCCAAATTCTACACTATCTGTTAAAATTTTCATGTCCCATATACACAGTCTACATATTATTAATCTTCGTTAGCAATGAATTTGGTGTAGTTCATATTTTGTCAAGTTAAGTTGTTAGTTACAATTTGTTTAATTTTATTTTTTTAACAGGAGTTACAATTTGTTCTATTTTATTTTTTTAACAGGTTCATGTATAAGAACCTCAACAATTGGGCTCCATATTTTATTGTGCTGCTGTCTGTGATCTGTATACTTTTTACATACATTACTATACTAATGGTGAGTAGAGAATATACCTCTGCCTTTGATCTTACAGTCTAATTTTTACATACATATCTATACTAATGGTGAGAAGAGAATATACCTCTGCTTTTTAGCTCACCTGCCAAAAGGGCAAATGAACTTAAATGTCATGGTGCGTTGTCCGTCAACTTTTCCTTTAAACAACTTCTTCTGAAGAACAGACAGACGTAGAGCCATGATATTTGACTGAAAGCTTCCTTGGTAGGAGCCCAACAAAGTTTGCGAATGAAAATGACCTTGACCTGCTTTCAAAGTCACATGGGTCAAATATGTCAAACGGTTCAAACTACTTCTGAAGAATTAAAATTCATAAAATTATAATATTTGGCTGGTGACTTCCTGGGATAGAGCGCACCAAAGTTTGCGAATGAAAATGACCTCAACCTACTTTAGAGGTCACAGAGGTCTTCATCATTTTAAAGGATTTGTTCTCAAGAACTAAAAGGAATGGATTCATAAGAATTGGCTGGTAGCATTTTGGAATAGAGCTAACCAGTTTGAGAAGGATAATGACATTGACCTACTTACAAGGTCACAGGGAAAAATACGTCAAGCAACTTCTGAAGAAGAATCAAAAAGCATAGAATCTTGTAATAATATTTTGCTGGTAGTTTCAACAGATGGAGCCAACAAAGTTTGCGAGGAAAATAATTTTAGTGCAATATAATATTTAATGAGAATATTTTGCTATGACTGCTTTAATATTCAGGTGAGCGATACAGGCCCTCTTGGGCCTCTTGTTCAGAAGGAATGTACCTCAGAAAAAGGTTACTTGCTCATAAATGCTATCAAGGCTGATGCTGCAGAGTCATAATAAAACAAACAGATCATACAGATTGAAATTTTTCGATGGCTTGTTCATTGATTTTAGAAATTTCTACTGATTTATTTAGCTACTTGAAATAAAGTATGGTTGTGGGCATATAGTTTTTGTACACTGCAAATTATTTGCAGAGGTAAAAATCTAACATATATTTAATTTTTATGTTGTCTATAGTATAATATTCCTGTGTATTATACCAGTTTTCTGATACATTGCAACAGTCCTATTAATGGGATGTCAATGAATTTACTATGCTACCTTTTTTGTATCAGATATTCCTTACTTTACTGTATTACATTGTAACAGTCCTAGTTAGGATATCAATGGATGCTATCCTCTTTTTATACCATGTATTTCTTACTTCACTTTTTATTCTTCAGCTCCTTTCCCTCTGTCACATCATACATGGTCACCAGCTGTATGTACATCCTGTACATGTTATATTTATCTTCTTCTGTCTGGCCTGCTGTATCGCTGGAGCTGTCAGCTACTCCGAGCTATGGGCTACTGAGTGGTTTGCCATCTGGCTGTCTCTTAAGGTAGGCTGATGTACAAACACAGGACTTAATAGCATTACATAGATATGGTCATGTGTATATATATAAGCAATACATTTAAGATGGATTTTAATGTATGATGATTATCCCAGTTTAACAAAAGTTGACTCCAATCACCCAATCAAATGAATCAACCTCCAGAGTCCTATAAGAGAAATATTTGAATCTATTGTCTTGGTGTCTGGAAAATATAGAAAAAATTGGATCAAATGACCAGGTTAGTGTATACTTAATATAATATGATTTTGGTGTTAAAAGTGAACTGGAAAACAAAGTTCATGACTGTCTATTGAACAATCCTTTTTGTTTCAGGTCATTGGTCCATTCCTGCAAATTGGCAGTGTAATATTAATGACATCAATATCGTATGTCATTATAGGACAGTGGTTTACCCTGACCAAGTGGTGTAAGTAGTCACTAGCTAAGTGCATCCCTAAACATGACTAGTTTGTTACTTCTTACTACACCATTTTCCTGTGACTACTAAAATTCTCTTATTTGAATCGTATTCGTTTTTGTACCTGGTAGTTTCAAGATGTTAATGCTGAAATATGTAAAGGCAAAACATGCTGAAATATCTTAAAATATTTAGTCGGCAACATACAGGACACGAAACATACAAGGTACAAAGTCAAAATATCAGTCAAAGTGATTAGAAAACATTAGAAGTTGTGAAATACCAAAACAACCTTTTGCAGAAACACCTTTACCTTCCTGCCATTTACAGTGTAGGTTCTGTTGAAACTTGTTTTCTAGTCACCACTAATCCAGATTTCCTGCTATCCAATTTGTGGTTCTGGGGACAAGCCTACATTTTCTATTTCCAACCATCTAGGCTTATCCATCCCTTCTATAATCAGCAAGTTTCAGGAATCAATGTATGCCCTGCAGAAGGAATGATAGAATTCATGTTAATTGTTGGACAATAGCCTGAAGAACCTGAGGGAGCAAAAGTGCTTGGACTGCAATTTTTGGAACTTCTGTGTTATGCTGGAATGGTTTAAACATGATTATATTTAATACAACTTTATTATCAATAATGTCAGTATAACATTATGTGTAGTGAAATATCATCCACCAGACAATTAACATACTTGTTAGTTGGTCTGTTGTAATTATGATTACATGTATAAAATTAATCATATGAAAAACTATAAAACTCTTTCATGCCCAGGGGTTTAGGATAGGGGTCGGGTGGAATTTCCCTATCCTACACCCCTGGGCTTGAAAGAGTATTTTTTCGCTCATTCCAACTACCAGAATAAGCTCTGAAATTATGAAAATGAGTTTAGACTGGCTACCATTTTGAAAATATCAGTTTTCCCCTGAGCATTTTAGACGAAAACGAAAGTCAGCCAGATTTAGCATACCCCATGTATATTTGCAAACAGAGTTTGCACTGAAAAATGTATCTCGTCTTTCTAATTTGTACGGTGAATATGTTGTAAAAGGTTTTAACTTCATCACATCATTGTTGAACCATTGTGACGTCACGTCACATGAAATGGGGTATAAGATAGATATGTCCTACACCCCTTTCTTACCCTGGACAGCTCTATCTTACACACAGGGAAATAAGAGAATTGTATTTGATTGACTTTGTCAATTAAGATAATTTTACGTAACATTTGTTTGGCTTTCAGACTTGCAGATGTTTTGGTTGTGTGTATATTTAGCTGTGATGGTTGGACTGTATATATCTCCCGTGTTTATTGACTCGCCCTGTGTGGTGGCGACCACTAAACTACCACCCAAGCCATTTATCATAGGTCACAGAGGAGCATCTGGAGTAAGTACTCTTTGTTGTAGCCCTGACTCTAACACCAGGTGTTGTAAACCAAACAGGGGCATGCAATGCAGAAAGTTTTTATAAGTTTTAGTGAGATATCAAGTAAACTATATGCTCTGTAATAGGAACATGTCCAAAGGTATAGGATAAGGGAATTCCATCCAAGGGGTTTTCAAATTTATTAAGAAAAGTTCTTTTTACATAACCAATAAGGTTGTCTATGTGACGTTTCAATGACTAGTACGATATGTACACTGTAGACCATTCAGTATCATTACTCTAGATCTACCTACTTCATTTCTTAAAAGATTTTGATCAAAGTTTATACAGATGAACATTATTCTACATTACAAAATTCTCTCAGTAATTCGTTTTTTCTCTGTAGTTTAAATTTCTCTTAAATTTATGTATCTTAGTATTTTTCTGTTAAATATTTATATTTCTCTGTATTACGTATATTTCAGATTGCTCCAGAGAATACTATGATCTCATTTGAGATTGCTGATCAATATGGAGTTTTAGGATATGAAGCTGATGTGAGAATCAGGTAAAGGATAACACATTTCCACCAATGAGTTTCCATGTGAAGACAGTGAATATACTGCATGTCTCATTTTCACTGTACATGAAATATTATATCACCCATTGTGATATCTGTTAGACTGTTAGTGTTTTGTTTCATTCAAAATTGATATTTGTGTCATCACAGTGGTGATTTGAATATTTTGTTTTTGAAATGACCAAAACACAATTAGATGCAGACAAGTTTGAACAACTATAAAATAAATGTTTTTGTTAATTGCGATATTCCATAACACATACCATACCTACAATTACAAACTATATATTGATCAGTGAAGCTAACCATACCTACAATTACAAACTATATATTGATCAGTGAAGCAGACCATGCCTACAATTACAAACTATATATTGATCAGTGAAGCTAACCATGCCTACAAATACAAACTATATATTGATCAGTGAAGCTTACCATGCCTACAATTACAAACTATATATTGATCAGTGAAGCAGACCATACCTACAATCAAACTATATATTGATCAGTGAAGCAGACATCCGAAGAACTAAACATTTCGGGTAACTTGTATTAATCATGTGACTAAGATGTTGTATTTTATTTTACAGTTTTGACGGTGTACCATTTTTACTCCATGACTCAACTTTTGCCAGAACTACAAATATTGCCAATGTCTTTCCCGATTTAATAAAAACAGATTGTTCCATGTTCAACATATCTCAGATACAGCAGTTAGATGCTGGGTCTTGGTTTGTAGAGGTAAGATCTCAGATATAACAGTGTGATGCTGAGTCTTGATTTTAAAGACGAGAGCCCCTTGGTAAGATAATTATGGGCATACAGATGTCATCATGAGTCTTTGTGTACATGAACCTAAATGTATGTTTTCATGATCTTTAATTAACATCCCTAAGTTATACAATAGTGACGGAACTTGTTAGTCCTGTAAGACAAATTCAGATATAATTAGCTTTCCTGTCAAAAAGACCTAAAACTGATTAAGAAGCACTAAAAAAAAACTAATTAAAAAAAAACTATCTTGAAAGGGTAAAAATAAGCCTTGAATTTGGCCAAGTGATTATTTAACTAAGTTTGTATATTAATTTTAGTGATTTTGTGTTATTCTTCATAAAAACTAAATCAGAAATACAAGAAAAATGAAATATCTGTTGTCTGGTGTTAGTATGGTAAGTCTAGAAGCTGGATCTTTACTGAAAAAGAATCTACAAAAGCCTGAAAATACTTTGAATTTCTTAGTTGTAAGGGCCCTGTATACTTATTTTAGTGCACTGAAATCTAAGTGACTTATCAGATTTAAACAGACTAGAACAACGATGAACTGAAGCACTCACATCTCTGCAATAGAAAACTAACGGTAGTTGCGAAAATTTTAATCAGTGCAATCGTAATTTCGCCCGATATCTAAATTGCGAAAAGTGCTATAATTAGAACACGATTTTCAATATATGATATATACTGACTTCCCGTTTTATACAGACTGACCCGATGGTGACCATGAGCAGTGTGTCATCAAAGAACAAGGTGCTTTACAAACAGCAGAAAATTCCTACACTTCTTGAATTTCTCAAGTTTGCCAACAAAACAGGCAAGGTTGTCGTGTTTGATTTTCTTTTGCCTTCAAAATCACATCCATTCTACTCAGACATGGGACCTTTCCACAACGCCATACACGAGTCCGGCATTGATCCCAAGACGGTATGTGGGGGAGTAGGCGAGAGGAAGCACATTGTGGTACATGTAGTAGCGATTTGTTTGAAGTAACACTTTGGTTTGTTTATGTTTTACGCCCTATTAACAGCTATGGTCATTTAAGGACGTGCCAGGTTCTGGTGGTTCTCGGAGAAAAACCTCCGACATATGACCAGTACCTGGCGACTGATCCACGCAGGTCTCGATCCCATGACCCAGTGGTGGAGGGCTAGTGGTAGCAAAATGTCAGATGCCTTAACCACCTGGCCAACGTAGCCCTTGTAGTAACACAGCTGTGTCTTACCTCTATAACATAGGTGGGCGCTGGTCTGCTATTTTTATTGGACATGATTGTGCTGACTGCACCTCTTATTTCCGAAGCACTGTTTCTTTGATGCAGTTTCTGCCAAAAATCTGGGTGGAACAACATTAGGCATGAAAATCTCACTTAAATTGTTCAAAACTTTATGACAATAATGTATCTTACAGTTCATGTAAAATAAATCCCATTTATATTACACAGGCACAAAAATATAGTATACACAGTATTACTACTATAACGCACAAAATGCGTGTCTCTAGATCTGTTGTGAAAGAATGGTCAAGGAAATACAAGAGCAACATTGCTTCCTGGGTTGATCCAAAGTAGCAGCGGGGTTTCAAATGGAACAAATCATTACAATTTTTAGCCATCAGATAAATCATTCCACTTGTTGAATGTAGTATGTAGTCCATTTTTGTATCAACTGGGTAATCATGTGATATTTTCACTTTTTGGTTTAGACATGGTATCTGCTTCACTTCAAAAGGTGAAAAGTCATTGTTTTTGAGATAAGAATAAATTTAAGGAAAGGAATATTTATTGTAACAAGTTGAACACAGAAATGTCAACTTGTAAAGGCGCTATATTTTGTCGAAATCCAAACTTTGAAATTTTGATTGTTAGCATCAGGAAAATCAGCCACAGGCAGTTAGAGGTTTAACATGGTAAGATACTTTTGACAAGCGCTGTTTAACCTCTAACTAACTGTGGCTGATTTTTGTAGAGGTTACATAGCACTTGTCAAAAGTATCTCGCCATGTTAAATCTCTAACTTTATTGGAGTAAGCTGTGTTTATGTCAGATCACTTTTCTCTACTGTTCCTATTACAAACTTTAAAGGGTTTATTTTGCTAGAAGCATGTATATATATGTATCTCTATACTTTGGCTTGCTATCAATTAAACACAAAACAGCCTAATGTTTGTTATAATCAACATCTATTTCATCCTGTGTATTCTACTAGATGGGGCCTCAGGTTAACATATCTGTCCATCAGTTAGTCTGTGAATTTGTTTTCATGGCCATATCTCATACACTTTCTTTCTTAACCTACAAATGACAAATGTTGTGTGTGCATACCTCTTGGAGAGTGCTGCATGGTAAAGTTAGGTCTTGATAGCATTTTGTAGCTCTTTAATTTGTTCACTTCGATTTTATTTTTTCTGGGGCATATTTCATATTCTGTTACGTATTATTGTGATATTTAAATACATAATGGCCTGTCAGGTATGGTGGTGTTTGTATTAAATTATTACCCTGTCAGGTATGGTGGTGATTGTATTAAATTATTACCCTATCAGGTATGGTGGTGATTGTATTAAATTATTTCCCTGTCAGGTATGGTGGTTGATTGAATTAAACTATTATCCTGTCAGATATGGTGGTTGTTTGTATTAAACTATTACCCTGTCAGGGATGGTGGTTGATTGTATTAAGCTATTACCCTGTCAGGAATGGTGATGATTGTATTAAATTATTACCCTGTCCGTTGTGGTGGTGATTGTATTAAATTCTTACCCTGTCGGGTATGGTGGTTGATTGTATTAAACTATTTCCCTGTCAGGTATGGTGGTTGATTGAATTAAACTATTATCCTGTCAGATATGGTGGTTGTTTGTATTAAACTATTACCCTGTCATGTATATATGGTGTTGATTGTATTAAATTATTTCCCTGTCAGTTATGGTGGTGATTGTATTAAATTATCTCCCTGTCAGGTATGGTGGTTGATTGTATTAAACTATTACCCTGTCAGGTATGGTGATGATTGTATTAAATTATTACCCTGTCAGTTGTGGTGGTGATTGTATTAAATTATTACCCTGTCGGGTATGGTGGTTGATTGTATTAAATTAATACCCTGTCAGGTATGGTGGTTGATTGTATTAAATTATTACCCTGTCAGGTATGGTGGTGATTGTATTAAATTATTACCCTGTCGGGTATGGTGGTTGATTGTATTAAACTATTACCCTGTCAGGTATGGTGGTGATTGTATTAAAGTATTACCCTGTCAGGTATGGTGGTGATTGTATTAAAGTATTACCCTGTCAGGTATGGTGGTGATTGTATTAAATTATTAACCTGTCAGGGATGGTGGTTGATTGTATTAAACTATTATCCTGTCAGATATGGTGGTTGTTTGTATTAAACCATTACCCTGTCAGGTATGGTGGTTGATTGTATTAAATTAATACCCTGTCAGGTATGGTGGTTGATTGTATTAAACTATTTCCCTGTCAGGTATGGTGGTGATTGTATTAAATTATTACCCTGTCGGGTATGGTGGTTGATTGTATTAAACTATTACCCTGTCAGGTATGGTGGTTGATGAGTGTGGAAGACAAACTCAGCGAAGGCTACACGCCAGTTGTCAGGGAATACTCACCTCCAGATGTTCTCCGCCAGAAGCATATCTACAACACTAACATAGAATTCAGTAGTATCTCTATTGATCAAATAAGGTAAGTACATAACTTTTCCCCTCAATTTTCAATGAAACCAACAATCTCCCATTACAAATGTATATTAGTCTGACTCCGTGTCCTAAATAGTTTAGTCTTCCATAATGTTCCATTTATAATATACATGATGGGTTGATATCCACTTGATAACATTGCTTGCTGCCATTGGTTCGGAAAAAGGTTTCAGTAAATGAAAAAACCTAAATACCAATTGAAGTGAAAAAGATAGTTCTCTAACTGCTATTATTTAGAATTAAGAATAGTAATCATTGATGACAACTATATTAGTTCGGATGATCTCTCTGTCATGTCATTGAAACCTTTGTCTTAACTGGGATCATTTGTCCAGTACACGACCACTTTGGGACCACTTTGTCCTGACCGGGATCACTTTGTCCCATCTGGAACAGTTTGTCCTGTATTGGTACTACGTTTTGTGTCTGTGACTAGTTAGTTTTGTGTGTGACCACTTTATCCTGTCATGTTTCAGGGAGTACCGGGCCAATAACATCACTACCAATATACACACCGTCAACAAAGGCTGGTTTCTGTCTCTGTTCTGGTGTGTGGGCACAACCAGCATCAGTACTAATAACTGTCACACCCTCTCTCAGATGGAACGGCCAGTGTGGACTCTGGTGAGTTACTAACCCACATTTACCACAGTGTTTACAATACACTGGATAACCATCACTTAGCTTATATTATTACAGTATCAGATTTCCTCGGTGTAACTTGTCTTTTTATCCCTGTGAAAAAAATTCAGGGAGATGTAGCTGTCGTGCGGTGTTCATCCATCTGTCAGTCTGTATGCCTTAAGTCACTTCCCTTGCCATTGTTTTCATCTTGCATTTACAATTCCTAGAAAGCTTCATTGGAAAGGGGTGGAGTTCGAAGTGGATAGGTGTTGAGATATTACACAAATATTTCAATATGGTGAGTGGTTAGGGACACAACTTTAACATTCCTGTGTCAGTGTTCTCCCCAGAAATATTTTGATGTGCTATGGTATTCTTTAACCCTTCCATCATATAGCGCGGCGCTGTCAACCATTACTGCATCGCAACCCATCTATCGTGCGCGACACCACTTTGAGAAAGGAAACTCAAAACAAGAATTATAGTTGATGTATTTAATTTTAAATAAATAGCATTACTTATCTTCATGATATTGTATTATTGCTCATTTTCTTGCCCTATTCCTTGTGGCCATAGTGTGTGACCTGAATTTTAGACTTTTGTGTACTTTTTTTATTGTATAAATTGCATAAAACAAAAGGTTAATAAGTTTTAGACAGTCAAAACAATGATAAGACGAGATATGTACTAACAGGGTGTTTTACTTGTAGCTGCCGAGGAACTACCTGATTCTGTGGGTGACGGTCGATGTGCTGTCTGCCATACTTGTTATAGTGATATTTATTGTACAGAGGTATGTACACCACAACATTTTAACATATGTCACTGCAACTTAGGTTGACATGCATGTTATCTCTATTGTATTTTTAATTTCATAACATTTAAAGATTTTTGTTCAAATTGCTTGTTCGACTTGCAAAAATTAATACAGTACATGAAGAAAGGCTGCTGCTAACACAGTTATTAATTAAGTCTATTTAGTAAAGTCTATTTCAAGTCTCCCATTGAAATTTGATATTCAAGATAAAGTCACTGAACTAAAGCTTCTAAATTTAATAGAACATTTAGATTGCTCTCAATGTTACACTAAAATGGCCATACTATAGAATGTTTAAACTCACTCCCCATGTCACATGACTGATCAAAACAGAAATGGCCGTACTATAGAATGTTCAAACTCACTCCCCATGTCACATGACTGATCAAAACAGAAATGGCCGTACTATAGAATGTTCAAACTCACTTCCTATGTCACATGACTGATCAAAACAAAAATGTCCGTACTATAGAATGTTCAAACTAACTCCCCATGTAACATGACTGATCAAAACAGAAATGGCCGTACTATAGAATGTTCAAACTAACTCCCCATGTCACATAACTGATAATAACAGAAATGGCCGTACTATAGAATGTTCAAACTAACTCCCCATGTCACATAACTGATCAAAACAGAAATGGCCGTACTATAGAATGTTCAAACTCACTTCCCACAAACAACCTTTAAACCACAATACTACTAGTATGTAAGTTTCCACCTTTTATAAGCTAAATGTTCATAAGTTTATCTTTGTGTACAGTTTAGTCTCTAGTGATCATTCAATGATGAAAGTGAATGTTTAAGGGGAATTTTATTTTCAAGGGAAGTTTGATGTGTAAGGGAAATGTGATGTTTAGGGAATTGTGATGTTTAAGGGGAGTGTGATGTTCAAGGAGAGTGATGTTTTAAGGGGTAGTGATGTTTAAAGGGAGAGTGATGTTTTAAGGGATAGTGATGTTCAAAGGGGTTGTGATGATTAAAGGGTTTGTGATACTAAAGTAGAGAGCGATGTTTAAGGGGAGTGTTATATTTAAGAGGATTGTGATGTTTAAGGGGATTGTGATGTTAAAGGGGAGAGTGATGTTTAAGGGGAGAGTGATGTTTAAGGGGATTGTGGTGTTCATGGGGAAAGTGTGTGATGTTCAAAGGGATTGTGATGTTTAAGAGGATTGTGATGTTTAAGAGGATTGTGGTGTTTAAGGGGAGTGTGATGTTAAAGGGGAGTGTGATGTTTAAGGGGAGTGTGATGTTAAAGGGGAGTGTGATGTTTAAAGGATCTGTAACAGATCTTCCTGCTCACAGTGCTGCTGTATATGTGTTGTAGTTTACGGATGCGGAAATACAAATACACCTTGAATGACAATGTCATGAGCAATAACTCAGTTTTGGAAACAGGTTTTGTACCTCACTCATTTAAACAGAACTTTGCTCAGTTTCTGCCTGTATTGGGATATACTTACTTGATATCTCAGCATATATTGTAATCCTATATTATAGCGTTAAGTAACTATTACTTCACAATACTATGCATGTATAACTGTACATGATTGACACCTTGGCTAATTCTACTTGTTACAGAGATGGGGGAGGGGGGTGTTGTTTAGAAGGCTCACTCAAACTTTGTTTGTAAGCAAATTTAGTATTTTGTCATGATGACCTATTCTCCATTATGTAAATGTTGTAAATGTAAATCTATGTAAATTCAGGTGTTGTAGCGCTCTTTACTTAAAAGCTTTTGGATATGCCTGTGTGCCCAAACATTGCATTGTATAATTTACCTTGACTTATTTGAGAACCATTCAATGACATGACATGTATGTGAAGGAGAGGTAACTCTGTAGCCTCTCAATCTGTGTGATGTAGTGCCTATTCCTACAATGCTTATCAAACCAGTATTCACTGTGATTTAGAAGTAACTTGAAGCCACTCTCACTTGTTGCAGCATGTAGAAACCTGTAGTGGCCTGGTGCCTTTTCAAGCAGAAGCATGAGATATTTCCCCAGTTGGACTGTGGGGTCAACTTGTCCATGATGACTTAATTTTCCTCCTATTTCCTCTACATTTACAAAACTTGCTATACTAAGCAGCTTGGGAAGTTTTGGGGTTTCTTGAATTGCTTCCTTCATTATGTTTTCCATCTGTTGCCGTTTTCCATACAACTGTCCATTTATCTTTGTTTTCCATCTGCCATATATCCTTTATCATCTTGTTCCGTCAATTACTTAACTCTATTAGTATACATTGAGTTTAGAAGGGAACTACATTGCATGTGGTGGCATACATTGTTTCAGACCCACAGAACTCCTGTTGTAGCACGATGTAGTCTGTGTCACTTTACTAACTTATCTGTGTGTTCATCTTCAGTAGTGATGGACAACCTTACAAACAATGATGTATATGTATCTGTCAGTTTTAAATGTCCAGACTACAGCCATCTTCAATGCCCGTCCTGCCCTGTTTTAACTGAACCAGATGCAAATTAAAAAGTTTATATTTATTCAATGCCTTAATTTATGCAATAAATCTGTTGTATTGGCTATGGTGAGTGACAACCATTGTGTAACATTATGCTGCTTTTGTTACAGGATCCAGAGACAGGGCACCAAGTACAGTCCAGAGTCTCAGTCTCTTAACTGGGAGGCACAGAGCCAGCAAGTTCAGCAAAACGCCAGGAGTCACCAGCGTGCTGATAGCTACAGACGTAACAGACGGGCAATGAAGGAGAAACTACTGATGAGGGATGTAGCCTCAGAGCTTTTTGACGTAGAACCAGAGGTGGATGATCTTGGCATAGAGAGTAACTACACAGTACAATCTGCCGACGGCCGAGTCATGGCTGCAACATTCCATCAAGAGCGAAACGGGTATCAGACAAGCTATCAGGACCCCAGTCGTGTACAGTCGGACAGTATAGTGAACCTTTAACTCTCCGAGTGCTTTAAGTGTGAACACTAAATGAGGTGGGACATTGGGTTGGTGGGTCACTTCACGTGTGTGCACCTGACAGGTGGGACACTGGGTTGCAAATTGGTTGTGTACCTGACATGCTGGACATTATGTTGGTGGGGCATGTTTACAGGGAAGACACAGACTAGGGAGTGTCGTGTGCTTGGGGGACTACAAACTTACTCAAAACTTTAACAAATTTTATGTGATACTAAATAGTACTATTAGTTAAGTGTTTGCGAGTGGATGAATGTTGATTGTTAACGTTTAAAGTTATCATATTATCACACCACGACTGTTATGTACGTACTTAATACACCCTTGTAATATGTGTATCATCTCATATCACTTATTGTGTGGTCAGAATTACGATAATAGACCTTACCGGTAGGTGATGTTCTTTAAGATGACTTTGTGATGCGCCCATTGAAGATATTAGAAATGGTTTTAAATGGGGTTGTAGACTTGACAATGGTCAAGAGGAAAGTGCTTTTCGTGAATACTGTGTATTCGTATATGACAATGTGATATAACAGGAAGCTTGAATTTCAAACTTCTAATTCTTATTGAGATTTACAAAGCTTGTCCTCAAATTTTTATTTATCTTGGTAAGACCTTGATGAACTGAAATTTCAAGACGTGTTTCATTTATCTCAGGAAATGGAAACTCCTTTAAGATCCTATATGAACCTGTACAATATACCATAAATATTTATTGCGATAATTTACATAGATAAGTTATTGCTGTGATTTGAAGGGGAAAAAAATCATTTGATGATTTCAGTAGGGAGAACATGAACTGTTCTGTGAGATATCCAAAGAATGTTATGATAAATACAGATATAAAAAAAATCCACACATAAGGAGAAAATGAATTATTCTGTGTGATATCCAAAGACTTATATAATATAAAAAAAATCCATGCATACACGTATATATATATACATGTGATGGACCGATTGTATGTTGGCTAGATCTGTATAATATTACACATTCTGAATTGTTTCTTTTTCAAAGGGTTGCCAAATATAGATGGAGGATTTGAGAGGTTATAGTTTGGCTTTTGTGATCTCTTACATATCTCGATGTTATACTTTATGTATCATGTAGATCTGTGGTGTATATTGCATTTTGAAAATAAACTTATTTGAATTATATTTGAAATAAACTTTTTTGAACAATGTTTGAAATTAAGTTATTTGGAAAATATTTCAGATAAACTTATTTGAACTATTTTTGAAATTAACTTATTTGAAAATTATTTGAAATTAACTTATTTGAACAAATTTTATATCAACTTATTTGAACAACATTTAAAATTTACTTATTTGAACAATGTTTGAAATTAACTTATTTGGAAAAAAAATAGTACTTCATGATGTAACATATTCAAATTCTTATTTTAACTTGTATACTTTTATCCCTCCAATGACCATGCTGGGTGTTTCCAATAATTTGTATTTTATTGATACAAAATTACACATATTTTTCTTTGGTGGGTCATTCTGTATTTCTTAAGTTGTTGTTTTATACTTAGAAATATGAAATTTGATGTAGTCAGCTGATACCACTGTAAGATAGACAACACAAGAAACATTATATAGAGGTTCCCCTGTGATATAAAGCTAGCATCATAACATTTACTGTTTGTAAGATTTCATATGATTTCTTAGGCTCCTGCAGCATATAGCTAGTAAGGTTTTAAGTGTTTCTGGTTGGTCTGTCTATCTAGCCACTCAACATCTTGGTCAAACTTTTCAGTTCTAAAATTGTAATACCACAAGTCCATCAGTCATCAGACGTTATTTGTGGATACATCTCGGTGTTCTATCATTGTAATACCACAAGTCCATCAGTCATCAGACGTTATTTGTGGATACATCTCGGTGTTCTATCATTGTAATACCACAAGTCCATCAGTCATCAGACGTTATTTGTGGATACATCTCGGTGTTCTATCATTGTAATACCACAAGTCCATCAGTCATCAGACGTTATTTGTGGATACATCTCGGTGTTCTATCATTGTAATACCACAAGTCCATCAGTCATCAGACGTTATTTGTGTATCCATCTTGGGTGGACTTCATTTACCACGTTATTTGTGGCTACATCTCAGGTGGACTACATTTACCACTGATGGATACTTATTTGTGGATACATCTCGGGTCTACTACATTTACCACTGATGGATACTTATTAGTGGATACATCTCGGGTCGACTACATTAACCACTGATGGATACTTATTTGTGGATACATCTCGGGTCGACTACATTTACCACTGATGGATACTTATTAGTGGATACATCTCGGGTCGACTACATGTAACACTAATGGATACTTATTTGTGGATACATCTCGGGTCGACTACATTTACCACTGATGGATACTTATTTGTGGATACATCTCGGGTCGACTACATGTAACACTGATGGATACTTATTGTGGATACATTAGTTGCTCCTATGGGAGCTCTAGAATCTGATAGTACATGTTTATTACCCCCATCGGTCTGTGTGTTTATATACACGGGATGGTTGTTTATATACACCGGATGGTTGTTTATATACACCGGATGGTTGTTTTGTATAATTACAGTTTATTTGTTATGTACACTATCTTTGGTTTCTTGTTTTGGATTGAAAACAATCATTTCTTTTCCTGAGTTTTTATGCCTGGTGAGGGGTATGACCCTGTTGTTGTTATTGTCACGCCTGATGATAGTTGACACTGTTATAAGAGTGGTCTTCCTTCTGTGGCTGACAAGAGATGCATTCCTTTCTTTCTCAAATGAATCTTTTGGAAACTTGGCAAACATGACGAGTGCCATAGTGCATCTGCCATATATTTTTAGTTTTTTTGACAGTTTTGTCGGAAATCACATCCCATTTCTGATGCCTGATATCTATTTATAAATCTGTCAAAAGTACTACTTATTTTTCTGACGGATGCTTAACAAACCTGATATACATGACCATTTCCTTGGAAAGATTGATTTACGATTTATTTTGGATATAACTATATTTATGAGAGTTATGCTCCTTTTCTGATTACAAGTTATATCTTTTGTCCAAATTACCTTCTCATCATCTTTTTAATATGAAATTTGATAGAAATGATGAAGGCCTTATTAAGGTAGTTATGCAGTATCAATTTTTGTTTTATTTTGTTGAGAATTATGCCCCATTTCTGATTTTTTCGAGCTGTAGCAAGGGTACTGTATACCAGTCTAACTTTCACTCTATGCTGGTGAAATCTCTATTTTCCCAGTGTTAATGGTATCCTTCGCCCTATGCTGGTGAAATCTATATTTTCCCAGTGTTAATGGTATCCATCGCCCTATGCTGGTGAAATCTGTATTTTCCCAGGGTTAATGGTACCCTTCGCCCTATGCTGGTGAAATCTGTATTTTCCCAGTGTTAATGGTATCCTTCGCCCTATGCTGGTGAAATCTGTATTTTCCCAGTGTTTATGGTATCCTTCACCCTATGCTGGTGAAATCTGTATTTTCCCAGTGTTAATGGTATCCTTCGCCCTATGCTGGTTTTAATTTTCTATATTTTCCCAGTGTTAATGGTATCCTTCGCCCTATGCTGGTTTTAATTTTCTATATTTTCCCAGTGTTAATGGTATCCTTCTCCCTATGCTGGTGAAATCTGTATTTTGCCAGTGTTAATGGTATCCTTCGCCCAATGCTGGTGAGATCTGTATTTTCCCAGTGTTTATGGTATCCTTCTCCCTATGCTGGTGAGATCTGTATTTTCCCAGTGTTAATGGTATCCTTCTCCCTATGCTGGTGAGATCTGTATTTTCCCAGCGTTTATGGTATCCTTCACCCTATGCTGGTGAAATCTGTATTTTCCCAGTGTTAATGGTATCCTTCCCGTTTGATTGCCATGTTTATTATGATGTTATTAATGTTGGCTCTGATGATAAATTGGTGAAAGTTCAACTGCGACAAAAAATTCCCAGCCTACAGTTTTATGGTAGTGGCATACAGTTTGTTTTGTTTTGTTTCAAGAGATGGTAACTTATTTTCTCAAAACATGTTCTGACATTGACATCACATCATTTACTGGAAGATTTATGTTTTGTATCTTGAAGTCATAATGCGTTGGAGAGTGCAATAAGAAAGGTTAATTGTATACATTGCAGACATGCATGTGTCTGGTACACGAACATGACATGTCTTGACTCAGGTCTTTGGTGATAACAAACTTAAACAGTCAGATGTTATGTACAAGAGAGAGATATGTCCCTTTCTCCCTATGGTAAAATAGGCTTTATTTAACTCTAATATGCTCGGATAAATAAAACTCTATATCGAGGGATTGTGTACATGTGTTGGCCTGAAACAACGCATTATTTTCCTACCCTCTAGTAAACTTGTATTAATCAGACACATTCCATCTGGATCAATTTCATCAGAATTTTGCTTACATCATTTTCTGCTTTGTTGTGAATATGAGAGGATTTTTGCCCCAATTGTCTAGAGAAGGAATCAGTTGTATGATTTTATAGACAAACTCACATTCATATGGATTTAAATGTGTACTTTGAGATTTTGACCTTACAGCTGTATTAGGTTTTATATCCTTTGCAGACTTTAATGGTTACATGGAGATTTACAAACCAAAGAATCTCTGTTTTCCTGGATTCTCGGAAAGTTTTAAAATTGTCATAGGAAGCCAAGTGTGTAGACCTTATAGATTGTTTGAAGATATTGCTTGGCTAGGTCATTGAAAATATCATGCAGATGGGACCTCTTAGATTGATTTCCAAGTCAGTGAAAATATCATGTGAAACTGTTATCTAACTCTGATCAATGATTAGGGTTTGTAGACTGTATGATCACTAAGGCATTGCATGCTATGGATAGCTTTCATGTGTTGACCCATTAGAGTCTATAAGTTGGAGACGTGGCCACAATGATACCCCTTTGTATTTATTATCTCCGACCTAAGACATCAAACAGGTCTCATCTACCTTTTTAAAGTTTCATTTCTGGTGATGACTTTATTAATCTGACCCAAGTGAATTAAAGGTTTTGCCAGTCAGGATTTATAATAGCATGTTACAAATCGAAAATACAGGCAATAGAAATGCATGTAGTGGATGTGGGGATGGTTTAATGTGTCTTAAATATTTCTACAAAGTACCTGTCAACATTAGTATAGAGGCTCACATTGAACAATGTTTTATGTGTCCTATAAGAACTACAAAACAACATGTATTTCCTATTTTAACAGTGCTTTCAGGTTCTTTAATGTGAATGTTTTCTGTAATATAATGTTACAAGTAAAAACTGGAAGAGCCCGGTTGTAACAAACCATGGTCAATCGGACTATGTGTTGTTACTTACAATTGGTGTTTTTGTGTTTCTAGGTTGTCACAAACTGAATTTGTGTTTCTAGGTTGTCACAAACTGAACAAAACAGCCACTCAGATTGATCAACCCCTTAATTACCACCTTCAAATTCTTCTAGATTTTACCAATTGTATAATATTAGAGAATGCAAAATTGTTCATCAAAGTAGTGGAACTTACTGTTGCATACACAACGTGGACAAGTTATACACATCAATGTTGTAACATGTTCAAGTTGATATTTGTTTACAGTCTACAATCCAGCTAAGGGTCACAGCACCACTTTAATAGCTCTTTGAGTATACATGGGTCATTATGCTGTATAATTTTCAATATTGTATTGAAGAATAACACTTGAACTTCAAGACAAAATCCTGGTTTTGCACGTAATTGTACTAAATATTCACACATACAATTGTAAAATGTTCTATTTTTTAAAATTCAACAACATTTGTTGTATTGATATTGATTAAGACTCTGATACAACACGTGTTGTATTGATTTCGACTATGACAACACATTGTATTGTTACAGACGTTGACAACATTTTGCTCTGATTTAGACATTGACACAATTGTTATTTTAAGTGTGCCTGTATTTTCAAGTGTGAAACACATAAAAAGATAAATGACTAAATACAATTCACTTCTGTGTTGTATTGATATTTGATTAAAGTTTGGTTTAATCGTTTGGGATTTAATATTTTTTATATTTGTTTATGTGTACAGTGATAGCTCTACAGATTATAACAGATGTGATAGTTAAACTATCTTGAGAATGAATCTGCTGTTCGTTTGTTTACTAATATTCAGCATACAGTACTAGTGTTGTCATTTTTTTATTACTTTTTCCAGTTTTGTTGATGTATTAAAACTTATAAAGGACGAATCTTTTTTGAGGCAATTCACAATTACTCATAAATCATTCTGTTTGTTGCCAAAATATGTTTGTTAAGAGGAAAGGCGTGAGTTTAGTCGACATTTTTGCATGGTGCTGTTTATTACATGACTGTGTAAATAAGAATGATTTCTGTAGATAATTGATGAGGTGTTTTCACTATAATATTGTTTTGTTTTCATGCTGCATTTTAAGGAGCTGACAAGGGGCTGCATGTTGTCATAATTAGAACGGCATGATAGCCCGCTGTAATAACGTTATATCACAGAAGTTATGGAATATTTGTATGAAAGGTTTAGTTATGATACAGGATAAAACTGTTACATGCTAACAGCATGTGTATTGAATCATGTTGGCTTACACTGAATGGTGTAAAGTACAAAAAGTTATATAAAGGTTATCTGTTACACACTGAATGGTGTAAAGTACAAAAAGTAATATAAAGGTTATCTGGTACACACTGAATGGTGTAGAGTACAAAAAGTTATATAAAGGTTATCTGGTACACACTGAATGGTGTAAAATACAAGAAGTTATCAAGTATAAAAAGGTTATCTGGTACATAAAGGTTATCTGGTACATAAAGGTTATCTGGTACACACTGAATGGTGTAAAGTACAAAAAGTTATCAAGTATAAAAAGGTTATCTGGTACATAAAGGTTATCTGGTACATAAAGGTTATCTGGTACACACTTAATGGTGTAAAGTACAAAAAGTTATCAAGTATAAAAAGGTTATCTGGTACATAAAGGTTATCTGGTACATAAAGGTTATCTGGTACACACTTAATGGTGTAAAGTACAAAAAGTTATCAAGTATAAAAAGGTTATCTGGTACATAAAGGTTATCTGGTACATAAAGGTTATCTGGTACACACTTAATGGTGTAAAGTACAAAAAGGTTATCTGGTACTTAATGGTAACAAGTACAAAATGTTATTAGATACAAGACACGAATACATTTGTATGACATGAGTTTGGTTTTTTGTGGCTACAATATATTTGCAGATATGATATATAGATATTATAGAGAAACCCTTTGACATTGTTTTGAACATAGCCATATATTGAATTTGTTGGGTTCTTTAAATACCAATGCTTATTTTTGTACTTATTTTTTATGAATTATGTCTTTCATGATTTGTAATGAGCCTCTCCGGTTGTTAATGTACTTAATGTGTGTAGGATGACGTCACAGGCCTGATGTATAGGTCAGACCTTGGTGAAAGGTTGACCAAGTGGTCAAGTCTGGACAGTTGGACCAGCGTACTAGTAACATGTGTCACATAAGCACTCATGTATATTTTGTCATTTGACCCCCTGTTCGAAAAAATAAAGGTCAGACTTAATTCCCAGGATAGCATTTTACTCTCGAATAGTTTTCTTTTATCATCTTTCTCATTATTATTTAAATCAAACAAGTTTTGATACTGGTTTAGTGAATACTGTTTCGATTTGGATAAAAGTAATTCTGGGATAAAAGTAATTCTGTAAATCAAGGATTGTGTTTTTAATGTGTAAATATCACAACTGAAAGATATTTGATATTATCAGTGATTGGTTGATTTTTACATTAAAGGATAGATCAAAATCATCATGAGAAATGAAAAGGAAAAAGGTTATTTTGAGGAATTTTGAGTCTAACCTTATTTCTTTTTTCTTCAGAATTTGGGGTCAGATGTATCGGCCCACTCAATAAACCTATTGTAACATCAACATCTCTCCTTGCTTTTGTTGTGGAAGAAACATAATTACACACCCTTAGACTGACCTAGTATGTTTAACCATATAGAGCATTTCCAGAAAGTTGTCGGGTCAAATTTTCACAATCATTCTCGATGTCATAAGCTTAATTAGGGCCCCGTATCGGAAATCAGGTGCCCTTATAGTAATCACTCTGTCTGTCTGTCCATCCACAAATTTCGTTCCTGGCTGATAACTTTGGTATAAATTGACTGATGTACATGAAACTTGGTTAAGATGTTCAGTTCACAAAAATACACATTGAGGTTAAAAGTCAAGGTCATAAGGTTCAAAGGTCAAAGTCAAATTTTACATCTTTTCACTGATGAACATTTTGTTTTGATAATATGAAGCAAAGTTGATCAGAATTAAACAATGAGTTAAATGACCAAAGGTCAAGGTCATCGGGTCAGGGGTCAAGGTCAAATTTTGTAGCTTTTCACTGGTGAACATTTCGCTATGACATTATGAAGGAAAGTTGTTCGTAATTTAACAAAGAGACACACTGAGGTAAAAAAGTCGAGGTCGAAGGTCAAGGTAATTCGATTAAAAGGTCCAGGTCAAATTTTGCATCTTTTCACTGATTAACATTTTGTTATGACATGATGAAGCAATGTTGCTCAGAATAAGACAAGGAGTCAATTGACCAAAGGTCAAGGTCACTGGGTTAAAGGTTAAGGTTAAATTTTGTACATTTTCCCTGATGAACATTTTGTTATGACATTATGAAGCAATGTTGTTCAGAATTTAACACAGAGTCAACTGACCTTAGGTCCAGGTTACGGGGTCCAAAGGGTCAAGGTCAAGTTTTGTATTTTTCACTGATGAACATTTTGTTATGATATTAAGAAGCAAAGTTTGTCGGAATTAAAGAATAAGTCAACTGACCAAAGATCAGGGTCACTGGGTTTATGGTCAAGGTCTTTTGGGTCCAAAGGTCAAAGACAATGTGGATCTCTGACTTTGACCCTGGCTCTTGATGGAGGAGGTAAATAAGGTGAAATAAAACAATCCAAAGCTTACAAATGAGTATTGCACCGGTATTTACATTTCTGTAAGCCCAGCAAATATGGAGGTGGAAGGAAACAAGACTCACATCATAGTACATGTAAAATGTATATTTTGCTTCCTTGTGATTCTTTTTGAAGTCCAAATGTCAAACGTCAAGCTCAGCTACATGTATATGGGCAGATTGCTTCTTGATGATTATGGGGTACATATTGCCATAAGACGGGGCCTATTGTAAACTTCGTACACACAACACGATAGTTGTAACATTATTTAATCCATCAATCACAATATGAAAAAAATGAGAAAACCGAAATAAATGGATGGCTGAAAACGTGCGTGTATGCAAACGTAGTATTGCACACCCACTGGTGATCAATACCCAACTGTCGGTCTACGCATGTCCACATTACTACCCGGTCTTCCGTCTCACCACTTTTGTTTTTAATTATCCGTCGGCTAACATTCTCACCCGATCATTTGTGTCCAAATTCCTCCACGAGAAACAGTCTCACCTCATTACTACCAGTGCAGTAACGTGTCCCTAGCCAGCACCTGGTATATTCACCTTGACAAACGAAACCTCGTAACAACCGTAAAATGTACGGTTAAGCGCGGGTGACGTGTAGGTACACATCATGTTGCGTCCCACCCAGAACACGCGGTACCCTTCCAGGTACAGCCCACGCAGTATCAGGAGCTTATGGACCCAGTATTCCTTTACACGACTCTCGGTGCGCGCGTGAAACTCCACTAGAAGCTGTTTGACGCCATCAAGTTGTGACGTCTTTAACATGTCGGGGAGGACGTTCCACTCCCAGCTCTCTATATCCATCTTTAGAATGTCAGGGGTACGCTGTAAAAGAGAGAATTAGTGTTAATGTGGAAGTACTCGTTATGTATAAAAGGAACGCACTTGTCTATATTCTTCGTTGATTATATAAGATGCAGCTGTTTGTTTTATATTTCCCGTAATCTATAGACGGACCCCCAATTAGCTGTTTTTGTCTTTTTTGTTTTGATTTGTTTTTTGAGCAGTTATGAAATAAGGCAAAAAATATTCCATTATCTCCGGACAAACTTCGGTATCAAAAATATAAAAGCGCCGTGATTGTGTATGTAGAACACGGAACCTGACACTTAGTCCTATTCCAACAGATACTCAGTAGGTGATACTCCACGGAAAAAGGGACACTCTGACTAACAGACGAAGTCCAAACCTATAGTATCCTAAAGGATCGGGAGACTTCAAAAGAAAATAAGCTGGACCGAATCATCACTAGGACCCTTCTCTAATGTAGCATAACATGGTCCGGTCTCCGGTCAAGATGGCGGGAATGAACGGAATCCTACTGACCACTACAATCTTTTTGTTAATTCGATCTTTACCACCATGTTCAGAGGAGCCCGGTTCTCCTGGACGGCTACCAAACAACTGCTCCGATAAGAGCTCCATCTTGATACCGTCAGAATTTCGAACTTATGCTATCAGCAAGCTGAACCCAAACTTGACCACTGGTCAATCTCCCCAACATGGCGGCCGACGACAAAACTCGGTTAAAATGTACAAGACTCCACGTTCTACTGTTGCTATTTCCATACCCTCCCCCATTACTATTGTAAAGCGCTTCATTCACGGCTATTGCCAAGCCACTCCACTTTTAATGTCCCTCAAATTGATTTGCTACCGTAAAACACCTCTACTGGTTCATGTTGTTTTCCATTTGTCAAACCTTCATCCTTCTACCGATGTATTTACCAAACTCATCCTCGGCTATTGTCAAGTCACCCCACTTTTAATGTCGCTAATATTGATTTGCTACCGTGAAACACCTCTCCAGTTGCTTTTACTGTTTGTCAAACCTTGATCTTTCTACCGTTGCTATTGCGTATTCCCATTGCTATTGTCAAGCCCATTGCTGTAAGGACACTTACACTGTTATGGAACAGCTCTTTCCGGATGGATTTGAATGTCCTCATTTTCCAGCCTGCCATGTCTTTACTGATACCGTTATAATCTGAAAGGCCAGTGGCGTGGAAGTACACCGACGGATTGTGTACGTGGTCCACTTCGTGCATGCTGCAATTGAAGCAAGACTACAGAAATAATCCTTGAACAATTAGGAGAGACAAGGCATAACAACCATATAGGCAAATCGAATAGTATTGCGAAACTCTCCATATTCTCCATTCTCCATTTTCTGGTACTTTGTTTAACTTGCATATTATAATGTATCTTCGTATGTCTTTCAGAGTCAGGTACCTACCTTGGATCAAACGAGTGTACCTCACATCCAAACACTGACGCCATTTCATCATCGAACGAAAAATCAAACTGTATCCTGTAAAAGAAAATCGACAATGTGTCAATTATTGAGACTTTTTGAGACTGTTAGGAGAGGCGAAATCAATGTAAATACATGATAAGGAAAACAGCGACTTACATTGCACTTTTGTACTGTACATGTAGCGAGACTAAATACAGCATGAACAGGTGACCAGGCACGTGGCACTTTTATTCGCGTTTAGTCTCAGAATCAATTGATCGACATGCTTGGTTGAGCCATGTGTCGTTTGTGTAAAACAGGGCAGTCGATATAGATCTGGTTGTTTGTCAGTTTTGACCTTAGATGCAAGGAACGAGATATCCTAGAAGATTCTTCGAGTCCGACCTTTGTTAGACATATTCCGTCTTTGCGTATTCTTCTCTTGTGAGCAGGTATTGATTGTTACATCATTGGTTTGTGTGAGAAAATTACGTCGTTTTCTCAACAATTGATGACGTTATTCTCACAAACCAATGACGTAGCAATCAATACCTGCTCACAGGAGCAGATAACTATGTAATACGAAAAGACTGAATAGTACAATAAGAAAGATCTTTTCTTTTCTGACTTCAAAGTCCCCTCTGTCGTTAAAAGGAACAAGCAAAGAAGGAAAGTATGACTAATTCAGAATTATTAACATTAACAATATGCCTATGTGTTTCGATATAACCTGGAATCATCCTCCCGAGAATGGTTTTATCGAGTAAAGAGTACTGTGAACACGTTAACCTGAACCAGTCTGTCTGCCATTTAATGTCCAGAGTGTACATTTTCGCAAAGTTTTAAGAAGACTTCTCCAGTAATTCCTGAACAATAGCGATATCAGACAGTTCGATTTTGCACAATTCAGATCAAATTTGGTATGTGTATATATAGAGCATATCACAGTCGTTTCATAAAGTATACGATCTCTTCAGTGACACGTTCGTTGATATCATTCATCTTTGAGTAAGTGTACTCTATGTTTTTGGGGAAGTTTTCGGTTCTTGTGGATTGGCTTTCAATGACCAGAAGAATATTGACGACTTCATATGTTCTATGTAAGAAAGACATTTTCTCTTATCCGTTTCAATGAGTCGTGTAAACATTAAATGCACCTTGTGGTAACTTTAGATCAAAACTTCATACATCTGTACACGAGATTGTTCCTTCAAAGAGAGGTTGACGTTTGACCTAATATAACATATTACTTAGTGTGTTAAAAGGAGAACCTGAATTTGAAATTTGACGAAGATCTGTCTAGTATCCCTCATGGGAACTAGTGATAACGAACGGGAACTATCGAATGGTGAACGTAACACACACATGTGATGCACCCCCAAAACTCTGTAATAGATACAGCACGCCAAAAACGGAACCACATTGCATCATACAGCTGCTTCGTCCTTCGAGGACTCGTCGCTGGTACTTACCCAAAAGAGTAAACAAGACATTCGTTCCGTATATATTTAAATTCTTCACCACACACGTCCCATCCGCCGTCCATAGTGTGTCCCATTCGCACAGACCGTTTACAGGGTCGCTGGATCGTACTTAAGTACCTGTGAAGTCAACAAGTATATTACCTAAATAATTGTTCATCGGCTGAGAAAAGTAACATTTTGTCTAAAATTTACAAATAACATTCCAAAATTCTTACTCAGTTAAAGAAGAGAGGTGCCCCGTCGATGACGACTGAACTTCATTTCAGATGAACGTTTGACATAGACTTGTGTATGTACAATTTGATATTTGATGCAGTATGTCAAAAATGAATCAACTGCGACATACAGGCGTTTCGTCATTTTAGATATGACGAATATCATAGCAGTGATCGGAATTTCAAATCGGACCTCGTTTAGTAACGATTAGGTGCTGTCTCTCTTTTTAGGAGGATATTTGTAAATCCCTTTGACCAAACTCCTACATACTGAAACATACCATCAATAATCCTCATTTGCTATTTTAGAAATGAATATTATTATTATGTTATGCATTTATGATTGGTTCAATAGTAATTTTATTTATGCAATTCCATGATTTAAAAATATTGCAATCGTGATGAAGAATAGCTAGGTATTCCAGGATCTAATATCTAGTTTCATAGATAGTCTGACAGTCTATGTTGTCTAATTAATTTGCATTATCTCCCCTTAACAGTACGTACGTGTGGTAGTACATTTCCAGGTCCTCGAATGACATACTACAAAGCTTGTCCCTGACTGGTGGTGGTCCGTCACCAATCTCCATCGTCTTCTTCAGGCTCCCGGTCAAACTTACATTATGTCTCGTGGGGATAACAGAAGAGCACAGGGAAAAAGCAGATTCCTTCTGTGAACGGAAAGCAATATAACACAAATAATTAACAACGTCACTGTTGTACCTAGCATAGCCCGAGTTTCCTCTGGCCCTGACACCAGACTTAGACATTTTGAAATAAAGACGGCTGGTGTACCAGCCATCTATATGTCAAAATGTCTTAAGTCTGGGCCGTTTTCGTTTAAACGGTCAAACCGGTCGGACCACTGTTGTTTGTTTATTAAATAAGGTCGGACCTAGTAATCTGATGCTGCTTTCAGGCGAGCCTTGATAAAGCCTTGCAAGGCCTGCATACACATTTGCAGGTTCGCCAAGACTATACTCAAAATTCTTACATCTATAAACGGTCAAACCGGTTGTTCCGCATAAACCAACAGGCCCCACTGGTGTTAGTGCCAGAGGAAACTCTGGCTATACGTGTTCTCACATGAATGCAGGACTCGCTGTCTCCGCACTGTCAAACACTACTATAACCCTTATGTATAGATGAACGTAACACACACACACACACACACACACACACACATGCAACTGCATCTCAAAAAAATTGGTAATGGATACATTATATCAAAAATGGAAATAATATAACGAGGTACATGTAAGAACTATTTTTAATATTCGTGACGATTCCTGGGGTTAATATAAGTTTGACACGCAAGAGTACCGGTAATGAGGATTTGACATGGATGTCATCTGATACCCCACAAAATGTTTTCAATAAAAATGTTAAAATCGTTGAGTTTCAGTGTGTACAGCCGACCAATGCCGTCCTACGTACCGGATAGGACCAATGCCGTCGTACGTACCGGATAGGACCAATGCCGTCGTACGTACCGGATAGGACTTCGCGTCCCACCACGTCCGATTGAAGGATGTTGGTCTTAGTTCGACTAGGACGATTCCGGAGTAACGATGTTGAAATAAAAGAAAAAAAGATCCTACAGCCGTCGCTATTAAAATCCACATTCTCGCGTTTCTGGAGCGGTATCGTCTAAGGTAATGGATGAAGGATTTAGATGCCATGACTGAGGATACAAGATGCATTTAGATTTATATATCACATAAATAAACAACAAGAAAACATGTGTTATGAAATTTGATTACATTTGCTGATTTTATTTAAATTAGTTGGATAATGATCATATGGAGGTCCGTTATTTGTGATGATGACTCGTGAATACACCCATTTAAAGGAACAGATACATATTCTATTATGACTTAACTTTAACTGTGACGTCATAGTTGTTCGGCCTTATCTTACTCCTGACAATGTCCTACGTTCCTTCATGGTTAATAATACAAACATCATAATTTCATATTACTATTATATTTTTTTAACAATTAAGATCTTAAAAAAGCTGAACGCGACTTCGTCTCAGTCGTTTTCGCGTTTCGGTGATTTTTTCCTCAACAAAAGTCACAATTTAAAACAGAACGTATTTTGTTGACGTTGTGATATGGGGCATAAGATATTGTCAAGATCGTCATCTAAAATAATTGCGGTATAGACTCGTGTATGAACGGCTGATATACAATAAAATTTTCTATGTGACGTTTCGATGACTAGTACAATATGCACACTGTCATCTTCATCAGACAAATGACCAATGAAGCGTATGCACACAAAGATTTTATGGACAACTCGAACACATGTAACACCTTTGTGTGCATACGCTTCATTGGTCATTTGTCTGATGAAGGTGACAGTGTACATATCGTACTAGTCATCGAAACGTCACATAGAAAATTGTATTGGTTGTGGAAAAAGAACTTCTCATAATTACCCTTGATATAATTTCACGATATCACCCTAGTTATACTTTAACGATATCACCCTAGCTATAATTTCACTACATCGCACTAGTTATACCTTTACGATATCACCCTAGCTGTAATTTCACTACATCGCCCTAGTTATACTTTTATTTCATTACCCTGGCTATAATTTCACAACATCGCCCTAGTTATTCATTTACTACATCACTCTAGCTATAATTTCACAACATCACCCTAGCTATAATTTCACTACATTGCTCTAGTTATAATTTCACTACGTTACCTAGTTACACTTTTACTACATTACCCTAGCAATAATTGTACTGCATCCCTAGGTAGTGGAAATTAAAAATTGTACAAATAGTGAGGCTCGACCCCATGGGGCTGAGGGGCGGGGCCAAAAGGGGACAATTTGGCTATATTGCTATAAACAACTTCTTCTGTAGAACTGTGCAATGAATATCAACCATATTTTACTGGAAGCATCCCTAGGTAGTGGGGATTGAAAATTGTACAAATGGTGGGGCTGACCCTCAAGTCTGCTTAGGGGCGGGGCCAAAAAGGGTTATTTTGCTATATTACTCTAAGCGCATTCTTCCCTACAACTAAAAGATGGACATCAACCATATTTGACTGGAAGCATCCCTAGGTAGTGGGGATTGAAAATTGTACAAATGGTGTGGCTGACCCTCAAGTGGACTGAGAGGCGGGGCCAAAAGGGATCAATTTGACTATATTGCTCTAAGCGCCTTCTTCTCTACAACTAAAAGATGGACATCAACCTTATTTGACTGGAAGCATCCCTAGGTAATGGGGATTCAAAATTGCACAAATGGTGGGGCTCACCCCCATGTCGGCTGAGGGGCGGGGCCAAAAATGGGTTATTTTGCTATATTGCTCTAAGCGCCTTCTTCTCTACAACTAAAAGATAGACATCAACCATATTTGACTGGAAGCAACCCTAGATAATGGGGATTCAAAATTGTACAAATGGTGGGACTGAGGGGGCTGAGAGGCGGGCCAAAAAGGATCGATTTGGCTATATTGCTTTAAGCGACTTCTCCTCTGGAACTAAGAGATGGATATCAACCATATTTTACTTGAAGCATTTTGATTTAATCCTGGGATTTAATTTTGCTATTTAACCATTGTCATATTTTTTGGCTATATCACTCAAGTTCTACTTTAGATATATCACTCTGTTCTATTTTGCTGTCACCCTTGTTTTATTAGATTTGTTCCTATATTTCCCAGTTCTATGTTCACATAAGGCAAAATTTATAATACATTAATATTTTCATTGTTTTTAAAAAATACAAAAACTAATTCATGCAACATATTCCGAACTGCATAATCTTAAAATGAACCGTGAAAAAAATGTTAACATTTGATCACGTTGCTACTTACTTACCTTCATTCAGTTTTGAACTAACCCAACACTCGACAAAATAGGTCCACTTTCTACGTGTACACAGACGTTTGTTACATTTGCCCAATTAAACATCCAGGGTCCTACTGTAAGGATGTGATTAACAGAACTTTAACTTTAACAGAAAAGACTACACAATAAACCTCCTCGTATTTCTGTTATAGTTTCTTAATGACGATATTTACGGATAGCAAATGAAGTCACTTGGTGAGTTTTTATAATAAACGAATACTAAACACAAACAAAATGTAACTCAGGGAAGAAATTTGTTTAGACTATAACCTTCGTGAAATCAATAACATTTTACGCATCGATAGCTTTTCATTAAGCCTTGTTCGTGTTTCATGTAAATTATGTTTGTCTTTTATCTTACATCTTATCTTATCTTTTTATCAAACTACGTCCAACAATACACCGGCGGTAAATAGAGACGCGTGTAGCTTAGTGGCTCGAAGTATTGTTAAATTAAATGTAAAGATAATTGTTTGTCCAAATTGTCTTTATTGAAACATTATAATGATGTGTCTTCATAGTGATATGGTATGCTTTCATGATCAAAGAATACTGTTTCGTGATGTTCGAATTGTCATGATATTTACGATAATAGGGGTATAATGCATGATAAGCAAAAATTCACCAGATTCCTACCGTAGCAATATGTGCATGACATTAGACCTGAAATTTGCGGAAAGACTTTAAAAAATCTTGCGAAATTTCCCGCTTTAGCACGTAAATTAGGCGCTGCGGAATAAAATTTAAAAAACTTTTAAAGTATACGTAAATGAAAGGATTCTGTTCTTATACGATAAACATTAAAGATAAAGTGATGTGATAGTACTATATAAAAAAACATCATATTATCATATTTTGTCATTATATGCTATGATAATTTTCAATTAAATGATATTAATTTTTCATTATATATCGTGACATTTTCCCCATTTTTTTTATATGATTTGGTCAATATATATCGATATATTTTCCGATCAATTGATACGATTTTGTCATTATGTACCGTGATATTTTCCCATTTTTTTACGATTTTGTCAATATATACCGTGACATTTTCTCATTAAATGATACGATTTTGTCATTTTATGCCGTGATACTTTACAATTACATAATATGATTTTATCATTATATTCCGTGATATCTTCTCATTAAATGTAACGATTTTGTCATTACATATCGATATATTTCCGAACAATTGATATGACTTGGTCATTATGTACCATGATTTTTTTCATTAAATTATATGATAGTGTTATTATATACAGTGATATTTTCTCATTAAATTATACGATTTTGTCATGTTATGCCCGTGATATTTTCTCATGACATGATACGACTTTGTCATTATATACAGTGATATTTTCTCATGACATGATACGACTTTATCATTATATACAGTGATATTTTCTCATAACATGATACGACTTTATCATTATATACAGTGATATTTTCTCGTGACATGATACGACTTTATCATTATATACAGTGATATTTTCTCATGACATTATACGAATTTATCATTATATACAGTGATATTTTCTCATGACATGATACGACTTTGTCATTATATACAGTGATATTTTCTCATAACATGTTACGACCTTATCATTATATACAGTGATATTTTCTCATTGTTTTCATTTTTTGCCGTGATTTTGTTTTCCGTATACGATTTATCATTATATGCTAGTAAAATGTGAGAAAGGCATTCTTGTATGGCTTGAATTTCATTAACCTTAGGAATCTCATAAAATGCTAATAACTTAGGAAACAAAATGCTATACCGTACATATATAAAAACATCATCATGGACAAAAACCTGAAAGATTAATACACACAGTATGGATTGCAGTTACCGATGCATTTTATATATTGAATCATACACTTCAGTGACCACGTTTGTACAGTACATATTTTTAAGAGTTGACCTTAATTTTGACGGCGTATACGGTAGTATGAACGCAGTTGGCAACAAACTTATTCTATGGTGCGCGTAAGTGCTTCATAAAGAATATGTTCGTTGCCAATTGCGTTCATACTACCGTATAGGCCGTTAAAATGAAGGTCAATCTTTATATTTACATTCAATTTTTTTTAAATGTTTCTATACTTAAAACAAACAGCTGAAGCTATAACTACAGTAGCCGTGGTTGCTAGGATAATATAGTTCCAGTGAATCTACATCGATGTATGAGTAAATTTAGAAAAAAACACAGAGAACGACATTATTTTTTTCCTTTCTTAGCTTTTAAATTTTAAATTAATGTGAAGCCCTTCGAATATTTCTCTTCATTTACAACGGTCGTCATGTACAAGCATTGACACACTGCTCATGAAGGGACGCGGTCAAATGTTTCAGAACGAAGCCGCCATTGTTTACGTAAGAAATTTTAATGTACATTCATGGGAAAAGAAGTTTGTCAGCATCCTTTTATTGTATTATTATACATAATGGATCCATAACTGTTCTATGTATCTAGATGGTGAATGATCCAAGCATTGGATGTCATTGGACTGTTATCTCGCTAAAGCGTAAACGGCGCCATATTTGAAATAAGTATATATCCGCCGAGCCTTTTTTTCACTGCGTATACGTTAATTTATACGCAGTCAGAGTTTACTAAGCTGAAGAAGGGTGACATGTTGATATATACAATTAAAGCTATATTTGATAGGGAGCATAGTTAACTTAATATAGTAATACTGCAGCGGGAACAGAATTGTGAATTTAAAGTTACAGAGTACGGTAGGTACGGCGAAATAATGATACTTAATCATATCTTACATTTTAAACAAATTAAGTCCAAAGATATAACGGTGGTAAATAGAGAAGTGTGTGGCAAAGTCTCTATTTTATATACAAGTTTAAGTAATATGTATGAGATAATGATACTTGATCATATTTGGAAGAGACGTAAGACAAGTTTTACGAACAATTGTTCCTTGTACATAAGGTTGGCTTCGTTAGGTGTATTATTTTCATATTTTCATAGTCATATGCATGTGTGTGTTCACCTTTCATTTGGGGGTTATTATACATCCACACATACTTATGCCACCTTTTATTACATTATCTTTAGCATGCATGTCATTAACAGAATTACTTCAAGTATGCAAATGTGCCGTTGTGTTATTTCCTGTCAAACAATGGAAAGTATCTCGATCTTACACGATGTTGCTAATCCACCAAGTTGGTTTGTTGACCTTACAGAGAGTTGACAAGGTGTTAGTAAACAAGTCAGATAGTCCAAGTTGATTCTGTTACGAAGCGTGCTGTTTACAAAGTGTTTGTCAATATTAAGATGATCGGAAAAATTAACCAGTTTGGTCAAGTCAAGCCAAAAGTAAAACTTAAATTTGCATAAAGATACAATTTGATTTGATTATCTACACATTAAATATTTGATATTGGTTATAGATGTTGTTCCTAATTAAACTTTGTTAGACTTGCGAACTTTAACCTGTATATGAACGACAAATCGGAATGTTCCGTTTGAGACGTTTACCTGTAAGTTAACATGTAATAGTTTGCCATGTGTTATCTTATTGAATGGGAGATGTTTGGTGTGGTAGCCTGTTTCATTGATAGTACTGGGTACCTTTTTACGGCTAGTTTGATGACGGTTGTTTCTGTGTCTTTTGTTAAGCTTACAAATGGTGTATACGGGATATCACGACACAATGCACTTTCCTATTTCCTCCATTGTCGGGTATTGGTATACATATACTCTAAAGCTCCACATTGTCAAGTTTTATCACCACGGTAACGGAATGAACAGCAACACTTAATGATACGATCGCCAAATATCTCCAATCATTGTTAACTATACAAATAATAAGGGTTAATATATGCAAATGAAATTGTCCCATCATCCCGTTTTGTTGATGGTCTAAAAGAAAATATGTTTAATCTAACTTTAGCTCTTCATTCTGAACCAAGTCAATTTCTTATACACTTTCATATTACAAAAAGGGCTTATTCACTGGTTTCACTTTCAGAATTAGTTATTTCATACTTTGTAGACATATGCATATTGTCCGTTCTAGACTCATCAGTGGAACTAAGGTTAAACGATTAACAATCCATGTCGTAATGTTCCGAAATATATGTAGAAAACAATGAAAGAGGAAAAGTGCCTATAAAATTCATGAAGTTACAAATCTGCAACTCTTAACAGCAATAGATACTTTATTATTTAGCTAGTACTTCATGTAAACCGTGGCACAACGAATTCCAGCTACCGGGTTCCGCCAACCTCGGGGACTGACAGCCCCCCATTAGAGCCAAATGAGACGACCACAATGAATGTTAATTGCTCAAAAAATAATTAAGGCCTTGCTAAGGAAAGGAAATCCGAGTAAAAATAAATTATTTGACCACACGTGTGATTTTGTTCCGTATTTATTTCCACGATAGATATCCAGCTATCGAACTTGACTTCTCGTGTAACACGTGCACCAGTTTACAATAAAAGCCCTAGGAAATGGCGAACTGAAAAGACAACGAACATGTTTGGTCGATGTTTGCACGCTGATATGAAATAACACGTAGAGTGTTCTATTATTTCATCACCAGTGTTTCTTTCTATGCGGAAGATTCGGAAGCGGGCCTGCGTTTTTACAAGGCGACGAAATCGATGTTGTTAGAATGAAATGTTGATGTTTCCCCTTGGTTAGAGATGGTTGTCTGTGACATGAGCACGCGTCTTCGTGTGTCTTTGTTATGCTTTCGGATTTTGCCGGCCTTCGAAAAGTCGAGGAAGGTGTTCGGTAATGGTCCAGGTATATGCACTTTTAAAATAAACAACTTTAACAGAAAGCTTATTATGTTAGACACATTTGTTCCACGAAACCAAACCGGTCATTGTGACGTCATAATTAATCTGTGTGTTGTATGATGCTGAACGGCCATCTCACACGCTTAAAGGATATGAAAAGCTCTACAGGTATGATGGGAAAGGGAATATGATTCCAAAATTATAAATTAAAACAAAGCCATAATATTAACGTATCCTGGTCTTTATTACAGGTTAAACTGCGACATATACGTTTCGTTGATGAAACGAGGGTTTTCTGTTCGCTCCACTTATTCGGTAATAATAAGTAACAGTCTATCGACAAGCTTTTGTTTGTTTAGTAATTATTTATTAAAAAGATTATGTTTGACTTGCCATAGCGATATGCTCATTGTATAAACAAGGTAATGGTATGCGTATACAATACAGTCCATCTTTAAAATCCAACCTTCGTACAAATATATAGTAATATTTACAGGTAATAAAATTCAAAATCACGGGCTGAAACATTCACATAAATATTACATATAAAACAACGCTAGTTGCTGCCTCACTCTGATCAACGTACGATTCAAAAGTATACAACAACTCAACAACTCATCTGGTCATACGAGTCAAAAACATACAAAGGGAATTATTAACACAAGGGTCAGAATCAGGACTGATCAACACACAAGTCCAAACCTTACAATCGTTCGATTTAAAAGCATATGATTACGATATATATACCAGTATTTCGACTTATCAGCAAACAAGTCCAAACCCTACCTAACGACAACCAGCTTACGAATGTAAACTATACATTTAACGAATGTCAACATAACACCGTCACTTTATTATAAACGTTGATACGTAAAAACCAATATTAATAGGCATGTAATAATTATGGATATGTCTGCATAACGTCCGGGGTAGGGAGCAACATAATTTAATAGGCAGGTGTTAATTATACACTTGTCTTTATAATCACACAGGGAAACCTCTGTAGTCCATGTGGTGTGTTTGTTTTCTCTCACAGAGATATATGCCCTGTCACCTCAGCTGCGCGACACAACGCTGATTGGAAACTACCACTTGGTAAAAAAGCGACGAAAACAAAATTGCGATCAGATAGGTCACACTGTAACATTGTGTATTGTGGTAACATTGACAGTAACGTGGTATATTACGTCTTGTCATGCAACGATAAATTTCACAGCTGAAGGCAACGGTTCTAAATTACACTTTGGTTACCATTAAAAACATGATGATATGAAATTATTTAAATGATTAAGTCACTCGACCATTCAGAAGAACACAATGATTCAATCATTAGCGTGTTTCTTGGAGCACCGATCATTGTTAATATCTTCAGGGTCCTGCATTTTTTTGTTTTGATTCGTTATGTAATCTCTCAGTCAGCCCGAACTTTTTCTTTTTACCTAAAACACAACATCAGAAAAACACGATGAAATGATTTACGTTATTAATAATTACTGCCGTTTGCGATTGGTATCGAGGATTACCAAGCTTATATATGTGATATAGTATAACAAGATGATATTGAAATGCTAACAAAACCGTAATTCGAATTCGAAATCGATAAAAACAAGAAGGATAAATATGAGCAAAGGAAAATATGACTTTGTTTAAAGGATAGTAAGGGTATTCAGTCCCACCGCTAACACTACGTCAGTCAGTCTCACCGCTAACACTACGCCAGTCAGTCTCACCCTTAACACTACGTCAGTCAGTCTCACCCCTAACACTACGCCAGTCAGTCGCACCCCTAACACTACGTCAGTCAGTCTCACCGCTAACACTACGTCAGTCAGTCTCACCACTAACACTACGCCAGTCAGTCGCACCCTTAACACTACGTCAGTCAGTCTCACCCCTAACACTACGTCAGTCAGTCTCACCCCTAACACTACGTCAGATTCAAGTGTTAGTCGTCCTCGTGATAGAAATGAGGTGGATACAACAAATAACGACTGATGAGAATAATTAAAAACGTCGACTTTCATGTCAAACTAAGAAATAACAAGTTTCAACATGAGATAACAAGAAGCAACGAGTATCAACCAAGGATAGGTACAAAATAATGTTTCAAGGAGCTGCATTTACTACAAAACAAAAGGATCCGGGACGTTTGTTGATAGGTCACCCAGACATGTGTATGGATACTTACGCATCTGATGCAGGCAGATGAATAGTCCGCCACAGAGGGACACCACAACAATACCAACAGGTACATACAGACCCCTATGGAATACATTTGAAAGATATACATTATTACAAAAATGTACCACAAGGTCAACACACAAATACAAATAAACCACTGCATCAATACACCAAGACAGATATACAACAACGTCAACACACATGCACGAAATGCACCACATCAGCACACAAGGTCAAATAGGACATGACGTTACCACACACATACACACAAAAGATGCTCAAATGACCTGCATTGCTTACATGTTATCTATTGTTGCTGGCAAACTGATCCTACATCTGCCACATTTAACATGAAAGTTATTAAAACCAAGTTTAATATTTGTAACCTTCAAAAGCGGTCAAGCACATTTCGCAGATTGAAACTGACGCTATGTAATCAAAGCAAACTGCAAGCGAACTAATCTGCGTTTGGGGACGTTAACCATAATATAATGATAACAGTAATGTATGGAATTATGGGGATATTCTGTTACTTTGAGTGACACTCTGTTTGTAGATACCTACTCGAGTTGGTTAGAATGATAACAGTAATGTATGGAATTATGGAGATATTCTGTTACTTGGAGAGACACTTTTTTTATAGATACCTACTTGAGTTGGTTAGAATGATAACAGTAATGTATGGAATTATGGAGATATTCTGTTACTTGGAGAGACACACTGTTTGTAGATACGTACGTGAGTTAGTTATAATGATAACAACAATATTTGGAATTATGGAGATATTCTGTTACTAGGAGAGACACTCTTTTTGTAGATACCTACGTGAGTTAGTTATAATGATAACAACAATATTTGGAATTATGGAGATATTCTGTTACTGGGAGTGACGCTCAGTTTGTAGATTTGAGGTAGTTATAATGTTAACGTAATGTTTGGGATTATGGAGATATTCTGTAACTTGGAGAGACACTGTATTTGAAGATACCTACTTGAGGTAGATACACCTGTTGTCTCCGCACATGAAATCGTCTGAGCAGCACCAGCCGTTATCACAGCAGTGCCATCCTTCGTAACAATATCCGGGCAGTGACGCGTTATTACACGGGACAAAACCTAAGGACAGAAAGCAAGTAAAAGGAGGGTGAACGGACATTAATTAAAGGAGACAGAAAAATATATTTTTTAGGAAATTAAAAACAAATTTCAGCTTGTCCATCAAACTTCAACTAGTCCATAATTGATTACTTTCTAGTATTTAAGAAACTCTGGTTATGTAATCGTGAAACAATAACACATTGACACCGACATACAGATGATACAATATGCGTGACACCAACATACAGCTGAGACAATCTGCGTGACACCAACATACAGATGATACAATCTGCGAGACACAGACACACAGATGATACAATCTGCGAGACACAGACACACAAAACATACCATTTGTGAGACACAGACATACAGATGATACAATCTGCGAGACACAGACACACAGATGATACAATCTGCGTGACACCAATATACAGACCGTAAAATATGCGTGACACCAACATACAGCTGATACAATCTGCGTGACACCAATATACAGATGATACAATCTGCGAGGCACCGACACACAGATGATACAATCTGCGAGACACAGACACACAGATGATACAATCTGCCTGACACCAACATACAGATGATACAATATGCGTGACACCAACATACAGCTGATACAATCTGTGAGGCACCGACATACAGATGATACAATCTGTGAGGCACCGACACACAGATGATACAATCTGTGAGGCACCGACATACAGATGATACAATCTGCATAACACCAACATACAGATGATACAATATGCGTGACACCAACATACAGCTGATACAATCTGCGTGACACCAACATACAGATGATACAATCTGCGTGACACCAACATACAGATGATACAATATGCGTGACACCAACATACAACTGATACAATCTGTGAGGCACCGACATGCAGATGATACAATCTGTGAGGCACCGACACACAGATGATACGATTCGCGAGAAACAGACTTACAGATGATACAATCCGTGAGTCATCGACATACAAAATATGCAGTCTGCAAGACAGACACATACATAACATACAGTCTGCGATACAGAGACATACATAGCATAAAATCCATGAGGCACCGACATACAGATCCTACAATCCGTGAGGCATCGACATACAGATGATTCATTCCGTGAGATATCGACATACAGATGATACAATATGCGAGACACAGACATACAGATGATAAAATTCGCGTGGAACCGACAAACAGATGATACAATCTGCGAGAAACAGACTTACAGATGATACAATCCGTGAGACATCGACATACAGAACATACAGTCTGCGAGACAGAGACATACAGATCATACAATCTGTAAGATACCGACATACAGATGATACAATCTGTAAGATACCGACATAAGGTGATACAATCCGTGAAGCACCGACATACAGATCTGTGGAGGCACGGTAGTCCAGTGGTAGGACGCCGGGTTCACGACCGAAGGGCTGCGGGTTCGGGTCACGGTACGGCAATGTGTTGTATCTTTGAGCAAGATACTTTACGCCGCTAGTTCCAGTCTACTCAGCTGTAAATGAGTACGTGGTTTGGCAGTGCTAGAATTGTTGAATACTAGCTGTTAGCGCCGAAATGGCAGCTCCGGCTGTATGTTTCCCAGGGAGTAGAGAACGGTATTGGCTGGTTGCAAAGGCCCTATAATCACGGATAATAATTTGTGAACCGCTTTGAGACGACATACGAACTAGGTTGTGATAAAGCGGTATTTAAGAACCTATAATTATTATTATTATTATTCTCATAAAATGCGAGACATCGACATACAGATGATACAATCTGTGAGATACCAAAATACAAAACATACCATCCGTGAAATACCGACATAAAACGCATGCAATCTGTGAGGCATCGACATACAAAACATACAATCTGTGAGGCATCGACATACAAAACATACAATCTATGAGGCATCGACTTACAGAACGTACAATCCGTGAGGCATCGACATACAAAATATCCAATCCGTGAGGCATCGACATACATATCATACAATCTGTAAGATACCGACATACAGATCATAAAATATGTGGACACCGACCTACAGAACATACAATCTGTGAAACAACAACACACAAATCATACAACCCGGGAGACAACAACATACTTAACACACAACATGTGAGACACCGACATACATGCTCTACAATCCGTGAGACATCGACATACAGGTGCTACAATCAGTAAGACATCGACATACAGGTGCTACAATCAGCAAGACATCGACATACAGGTGCTACAACCAGTAAGACATCGACATATAGGTGCTACAATCCGTGAGACATCGACATGTAGGTGCTACAATCAGTAAGACATCGACATACAGGTGCTACAATCAGTAAGACATCGACATACAGGTGCTACAATCCGTGAGACATCGACATGTAGGTGCTACAATCAGTAAGACATCGACATACAGGTGCTACACTCCGTGAGACATCGACATATAGGTGCTACAATCCGTGAGACATCGACATACAGGTGCTACAACCAGTAAGACATCGACATACAAGTGCTACAATCAGTAAGACATCGACATACAGGTGCTACAATCAGTAAGTCATCGCCATATAGGTGCTCCAATCAGTAGGACATCGCCATACAGGTGCTACAATCTGTTAGGCATTGCCATATAGGTTCTGCATTCCGTGAGACATCGACATACAGGTGCTACACTCAGTGAGACATCGACATACAGGTGCTACAGTCAGTGAGACATCGACATACAGGTACTACAATCAGTAAGACATCGACATGCATGTGCTACAATCAGTTAGACATCGACATACAGGTGCTACAATCAGTGGGACATCGACATACATGTGCTACAATCATTGGGACATCGACATACAGGTGCTACAATCAATGAGGCATCGATATACAGGTGCTACAATCAGTGAGACATCGCCATACAGGTGCTACAATCCGTGAGACATCGATATACAGGTGCTACACTCAGTGAGACATCGACATACAGGTGCTACACTCCGTGAGACATCGACATACAGGTGCTACAGTCAGTGAGACATCGACATACAGGTGCTACACTCCGTAAGACATCGACATATAGGTGCTACACTCCGTGAGACATCGACATATAGGTGCTACAATCCGTGAGACATCGACGTACAGGTGCTACAACCAGTAAGACATCGACATATAGGTGCTACAATCCGTGAGACCTCGACATACAGGTGCTACAACCAGTAAGATATCGACATACAAGTGCTACAATCAGTAAGACATCGACATACAGGTACTACAATCAGCAAGACATCGACATACAGGTGCTACAATCAGTGATACATCGACATACAGGTGCTACAATCAGTAAGTCATCGCCATATAGGTGCTACAATCAGTAGGACATCGCCATACAGGTGCTACAATCTGTTAGACATTGCCATATAGGTTCTGCATTCCGTGAGACATCGACATACAGGTGCTACAGTCAGTGAGACATCGACATACAGGAGCTACAGTCAGTGAGACATCGACATACAGGTACTACAATCAGTAAGACATCGACATGCATGTGCTACAATCAGTTAGACATCGACATACAGGTGCTACAATCAGTGAGACATCGACATACAGGTGCTACAGTCAGTGAGACATCGACATACAGGTACTACAATCAGTAAGACATCGACATGCATGTGCTACAATCAGTTAGACATCGACATACAGGTGCTACAATCAGTGAGACATCGACATACAGGTGCTACAATCAGTAAGACATCGCCATATAGGTGCTACAATCAGTAAGACATCGCCATATAGGTGCTACAATCAGTGAGAAATTGACATATAGGTGCTACAATCAGTAAGACATCGCCATATAGGTGCTACAATCTGTGACACATTATAACACTGTTAACCGACAAATGATACAATGTTTAAGACATTGTCGCTACACGTTGTCAAAAGAGAATTTCTTTGATTAAAGTAATATGTTAAACTAGTTACATGTATACTTACAGAGCACGTGCGGTAGGCAACTCAAACAAAGACATATCGCCCAAGATAACGTCATAGTTACATCCACCAGATTAACAGTTGTCCATTTAGTAACCGTCGGCCATCTTCCTGTTCTAAAGGCAAACACAACATGTTTTAATTAATGAGCAAGGGGTTAAACTTTTAGAATAGCTGTATAAGAATAAGTACCAATGATACCTTGACGAAACCCTATTTAGCAGTGATATACTGTAAGCATTGGACGTTCGAGTCTAACGTTGTCCCGTATATGCATTGCGATGTTCAAGGCCATTCAATAAATTCTGTCACCACACAGCTCCCATACGAAGGGGCATTGTAATAGTTTAGCGCATTGACACGCTGTCAAATTGTGTTAAGAACAATGTATGTGCACAATTTCGACATCCTCTGACACGAGTTAAACAGGTGATTCGTTGTTGAATGGTATGCACTCGTGACATGTAGCTACCTTCCAATGCTTAATGAAGGATGAGACTCAATCTGAAACACGTTCCTATATTTAAGTACGATGTGTTTTACAGATACCGCCAAAATAGATGCCTCTACCGTCACATTCAGAACTGTTTTTCAGGTGGGTGAACAAATTCAAGAATGGTTTAACTGGCATCAAAGAGGTCACACCGCCAGGCAGGCGATAGCGTATATGGTTGGCATTTCAGAAGGCAGTACACATCACATTCTGACAAAGTGCTTGAAATTAAAGAAGCTGTGTGCCTAGTGGATCCCCCATTTGCTGACATCTGAACAAAAGACCAAAAGTTTGAAATTTGCTTAATATGATTTGAAAAGGTATGGTAATTGATACTTACAGGAGATGATACCTAAATAACAAGTAATGATTGTCGAGAAATCAAGAAATGCTAGTGATTAGTGATTACAAGACGTATAAAAGCGCCAATAAGGATTAGTATGCCATATTTGTTTTGATTCTAGTGGGTCTGTGGATCGGATACCGTGCAAGGAATGGAAAGATATCACTGCCAAGTTTTACAACGACAAAGTGACGAGGCCGGTGAAAAGAACCCACACGAAAAAGCGTGCAAATAAAGTATTAGGTGGCAACCAGCTCAAGCAATATTGTGGGCCTGTATCCCTTGGATTTTATGTAGGATAAGTTGTCAATAAATATACATGATTTATTTTATTATTAATATCTAAAACATAAACAAAAAATGATTCAACAAAAGTTGAAAATGTTCATTTCACAAGCTAAATTGGAGTTATCTCCCCTGCACTGTTTAATTGGATTGTTAAGACAGAATATATGTAATGTCTGTAAATAAGTTTGGAAAGGACTTAAATAGGCCTAGCCTGATGTCCAATCCAATTGTCATATATAAAGTCAATAAAATCTGATGAAATGAAATGAAGCATTATTGTATAGGCGTTTTTGAAGCAAAGGGAAGTAGTACAGAACGACCACCCATCCTATTCACAAGATCTAAGTCCGTGTGACTTCTTTCTGATCCCTTTACTGTAGAACTTTAGGAGTGCTCTGTGTAGTACAATCTACCAGTGTGACTGTCTCGCCAGTATACCAAGGGAGAATTACCGCGCAGCGTTTACGTCATGAAAAGACCAATTCAAAAGAGGGTTTCTGCTTCACTTCAAAGGATTGTAATATAAAGATCAAGCTATATATATCATATATGTGGTTCTTGACACTTGTGACGGATTTTTTAAGGTCCCCGTATAGCGTGTTTAGTACTAGGAACAGCTTAAAGCATTGTTGACATTTGATAACAGTCCCGGTAATTGTCCTGATTCATGAAGTACACAGTGCAAATAGGGAAACTTAAATAATTTTAAAAATCGTTTACCTTTTATTTCCTATTTATAACTTTGCAACCTGTCAGTACATGTGGTACACAAGTTAAGTTACATAAGTTACACTAATTCACTATTTTCCGAGATCATGTAAAGTCAAAGCATGTCCTCAACCTAACAATGAACATGATAAACCTTCTCGATATAATAAGTAGTTAACTGTTAAAATTCATAACCTATAGAAACCACGGTCCCATTCGCTCATAATAACCCATACTAGGAGGCGCGTTGTGGTTTGTTTGTGTAAGATCTCGTCGTACAAATGATTTACTTCCCGGTCAGTGTAGACCTATAAATAGATATCTTAACTAAAACCAGCTCAGAGACTCTAGTCTAACAATACCTATATCTCAAAAACCCTACCTCAAAACGACGTCCTAACATCTCAGAAACCCTACCTCAAAACGACGTCCTAACATCTCAAAAACCCTACCTCAAAACGACGTCCTAACATCTCAAAAACCGCACCTCAAAACGACGTCTTAACATCTCAAAAACCCTACCTCAAAACGACGTCCTAACAGAAAACCTACTAAATAGAATTCTACCTTACAGAAACATAACTCACAGAAACCTACCTCACAGAAACACAACTCACAGAAACACAACTCACAGAAATCTACCTCACAGAAATCTACCTCACAGAAACACAACTCGCAGAAGTCTACCTCACAGAAATCTACCTCACAGAAAAGCCAAACTCACAGAAAAACCTACCTCACCGACAAACCTACATGTACCTCACAGAAACCTCCTTCAAAGAAAATGTAACCGACAGAAAAAAACACCTCACGGGGTAATAGAAAAACAATCTCAAAGAAAACCTACCTCACACAAACCGAGCTGTCATTCCGATGTTTACAGGTGAGTGGCGGGTGATTCACGATGCTCCGTTTGTTTCAGGTATGGACGTGTTAAAGCTGAGTTTTGTGAGATGTGTACAGATTTTTTTTTTTAATGCTTTCATAACAAAAGTGACAATTAAAACGGACGTAGACGTGCGTGTACCGGAGATCTCTCCGTCAACAAAATCGTACTGACTCACTGCATCCTGGTGCTCAGAAACATGACCAGTCTATAGCTTTGAATAGCTTATTGTGATGTCAATTATACTACAACTTTATTTAACATATAACAGTGTATAATATCTCATCACTATCAACGTTGAAGTGAATTGTAGTTTAATCCTACATACAACTATATGTCTATGACTATTGCACGGTGAACACAGTCGTCCTGTAAATGTTCCATGAAGCTAACAATTGAGGGCTCGCGTACTTGAAAATATAACACATCAAGTCCTGACGGGAAAGACTGGTTAGATTGATGTATACAACTATACGATATATCGACAAGAAAGAAATATAATTCAGCTTACCGCAGCATTAGCATCGTAACCCGGTTTTATACTTCCGTTTGGTAAAGGTTTTTTACTTTGAAATCATTAAACCTCTGTTTAAATGATACACTTAAACGTATTGTCAATTTTATATCAACGCATAAAAAAGTATTTTGAGGACCTTTTTAAGATGTTCTTACTTTTAATCGTCTGTATATTCTCCTGCTTTAAGGTGTATGCTATTTAACGGGAATTATGACATACATAGCTCTGAGGTGTGTTTATAACTTTGAGTACATGAATTAATGAAGACAATTTAGACCAAGACAAAAATCTAAGGTGAAACAAGAAGTACGAGTTTTTGTCAATATTTACCGGGTCCTGGCTTAAACACCAAAGTAACATAATTCATTTTTTCCCCAATATCTCTTATTAATTGAAGGATCCTACCTAGGCTGGCTTACGAGTCTTACGATCTACAAATTGAGCTAAAGAGATGTTTCCCTAGCCAAGTCGGTAGGACGGAGATACAGATACAGATATAGATAGTTTATCTAGATATAGTCTCACTTTCCGCATACATATATACAGTGATTCAATAAAATATACATTAAACATATGATGAAAACCACTCTGAAAGAGTTACGAGAGAGAGTAAAAATAATTAAAATGCATGTGAAAGTAGTTCACTTTAAAAGGAACTTTCTTTCAGAAGGCTATAAGAGAGATAACATTATATTATAATATCAGAATTCATTTAAAGGTTCGATATATTTAGGGTATGTCTTGTTTTGTTAAACGTTATTAACAGCTAAGGTCATTTAGGACGAGCCTCCATGTGTGCTGGATGCAGCCTGTTGGCGTACATATATTTGCCTCCTTCCGATAGCACAGATCTGATGCCGAAATTAGAGTGCTCCCCCACTGAAATACCATGCCATACACAGCCAGCACTGTATTCCTCCCGATAACATTAGTTGTGATTACTCTAAATACTGAACGTAAAGCAGGGGATATTAACTATCATTTTGAAGATTTTGATATACCCCAGCATAGGGAGAGGGTTCCTTGATATTGGATCAGATGCCGAAATTAGACTACTACGCTACGCTCGATCACATTATACTGACAACAGGTGAACCAGTTGTTGTGATTACCCTCAAGACTGTTAAGCAGGGAATATTAACTATCATTTTAAAGACCAGCCTGGGGAGAGGGTTCCTTGATATTGTTCAGCACAGACCGGTTGTAGTCGGGACAACCAGGAAGACTATCCTAATGATCCCATTACGAAATACAGTCAATATAATGTTAAAGTTAATCTAAGTATTCCATACTAATTTATCACCAATATCACCAAAGAATATTTAAATAAATTAATTGTGTGTCGCCCTCAACGGGTGACTCATTGCTACAGCTTCATACATGAAACTGATCTCGTGTGTCACAAAGGTTATCGAGAAACAATATTGACAAACCAAATAAATGTATGACAATGTCATTGTATACAGTGTAATGTCTTAAACACTTGTTTTGTAAATAGTCGAACATAAAGAAAACAAATGAGTATGACCAATTCGTATTACATTTTCATACATAAATAGTTACATTTTACCTATTTCTAGAATAATTTCATACCTTTCCATAGTTTTTTTAACAAATTACCATGTGATGCATTCGAAGGCCAATTTTAAGTTGGGGTAGAACATAAGACAATGGTGGACCTACATTGTATATATATACAAGGCAAAAAATACACTCTAGTTGAATATGATAGAAACAACAGGCCTGTACAATAATATTTTGTTTTTAATATACTTGTTATCACGATGTTGAAAGTCTGCCATCTTCGAATTGTTAATATAAATGTTTGTAACATGTGTTGGAGAGGGCTTCATATAAGTTTAATAACTTGTGCCCAATCCTTTTGTATCAATAAAATATAAAACTAAAAAATACACTATCATAAAAAAAATCCCAAAACATGACTGAAAATAGGTAAAATGTTAGGTTGAGGAAAAAGGTCAACATATACTTACATGTACTTTAATTCTCTTGTCTTAAGTTTATTTCCAATGCTTCGTGAATGTTAACTTGATTGTCTTAGTATATTTCCATTGCTTCCTGAATGTTTCTGCAACAAACAATGGTTTATTGAAGAAGGTACACCTCGGATACAATCTGCCAGGTGAATAAGCATCAGGCCAGACCAAGTGGGATATTGTTAATCGTCCTGTAGATGTTAAAATTCGGTAGAGCATCAGGCCAAACAGTAGCAGAGTGTGTTAGTCGTCCTAAGATGTTACAACTCTCTCTACCAAGTAACACAACATCAGGCCACACCAAATGGGAGTGTGTTAAAAGTCCTACAGATGTTACAACTCTCTCTACCAAGTAACACAACATCAGGCCAGACCAAATGGGAGAGTGTTAAAAGTCCTGTAGATGTTACATCTCTCGCTACCAAGTAACACAACATCAGGCCAGACCAAATGGGAGGGTGTTAAAAGTCCTACAGATGTTACAACTCTCTCTTCCAAGTAACACAACATCAGGCCACACCAAATGGGAGAGTGTTAAAAGTCCTGTAGATGTTACATCTCTCGCTACCAAGTAACACAACATCAGGCCAGACCAAATGGGAGAGTGTTAAAAGTCCTGTAGATGTTACATCTCTCGCTACCAAGTAACACAACATCAGGCCAGACCAAATGGGAGTGTGTTAAAAGTCCTGTAGATGTTACAACTCTCGCTACTAAGTAACACAACATCAGGCCAGACCAAATTGGAGTGTGTTAAAAGTCCTGTAGATGTTACAACTCTCTCTACTAAGTAACACAACATCAGGCCAGACCAAATGGGAGTGTGTTAAAAGTCCTACAGATGTTACAACTCTCTCTACCAAGTAACACAACATCAGGCCACACCAAATGGGAGTGTGTTAAAAGTCCTGTAGATGTTACATCTCTCTCTACCAAGTACAACACAACATCAGGCCAGACCAAATGTGAGTGTGTTAAAAGTCCTGTAGATGTTACATCTCTCGCTACCAAGTAACACAACAACAGGCCAGACCAAATGGGAGTGTGTTAAAAGTCCTGTAGATGTTACAACTCTCTCTAATTAATACTGCATCAGATCAAACGACAACTGAATGTGTTTTTTTGTCCTGTAGATGGCATACATCGGCAAACCAACACTTCATGACATAAGCAAAAAATACACACATCAATTCATAACACATATAACTTATATTCAATCATATATATAATACATGTATAATTCAAAGGAAACACATACACATAACATGTTAATCCTTAACATAAATGTATAACATTACACACAGTACACTGACAAAAGAAAACACACGAAAAAAACCCATCATATATGACATCATTACGAAAAGCAGACAGCGGACAACACCAACACATCAACATAAACAGAACTTTAATAAAACAGCCCCATCTCTCTCTTTATGTCTCAGTCTGTATGTTATACAGTAGCCTACAGAAATCTCTCTCTTTCTGCCTCAGCCTGTTTGTTATACAGTAACCTACATAAATCTTCTTTTCTCTCTTTATATCTCAGTCTAATTGATAAAAGGTGCCTACACAATTCTACATTGCATCGCTATGGTTTACAGTAGCCTACACAAATATATTTCTCGGCTTTGCCCCGCTGTCTCAGTTACCGTTTTACTTGAGTTAATTGAATGAGCCATATCGGGTAGCTTGTACATAATGTATGTTGTTATACTACTGACCAGTGTCCCTCGTGTATGTTATGTATGTAGCTAAACACCAGACCATGGTCATTTGGACGGGGTCAAGAGGTACGATCAATATCTTATCATGTAATATCTGATGTACACTCCAGTCAGTCGCCTGTTCAGTCTATTGGCAATTTGAATAACATTTCCCCTTAATGTACTCGTGAAGGGTACCAATGCATCAGTTTCAATCGCGAAGAAGAGTTCCAATCAGATTTTATTTATCATTATAATCTTACTCGGAGTATGCTCCCTTCTATAGAAGATTAGGCAACCTAGACGACGTTTTCTGGCCACGATGACTTCCATCGTCCTGGGTTTTTTTTTATCTTCAATCGGGTCCATGATACTCCTATTGATGTCGGGCTTGTATAGTGGTAACATGAAGGCGTTGTTATGTTAAGGTCCCCAGTTCGATCCTTTTCTTGTTTTCTTTCTTTTCATTCTTATTTTCAGTTACAATTACAATTAACCTGAACAGGCATTAATCGATTCTTTCACGATTGTAACGTTGGTAATGATACATTTTAACTATCTGGTACCTGTTACCTTAACAGAGGTTAACGAGTAATGTAACATCTAGATATACATCTGCGCATGCTCACTGACAATGCGTGGTATAGAAATGCGTTACTGCTTTTTTGTTTACCTAACGCTGTAATGATTACACTCAGGTATAATATAAACAATGACGCTAAACCCTATCAAAGCAATATATATGTTACTCATACGTTGTCCTAGGCTCGCATAACCAGAACAAGCACACTACACCCTTTAAATCGAATTACACGCTGTTACAACTGTTATTGTATTTGGGGAAATGGTGCCCTGCATGTAGCTGAAGAGGATGACATCCAGATGAGTTTGTACTTTGCCCGTCTGCAGATGGGTCATATTAATAACTCACATTCTTTATTGAAACCAACCAAAAGGTTAGTCTCGATGAATATAATGTTACAGACATGTTGAACTTGTAAAGCACTTGCTATTATATTGCCTTGACCCTCGGCCGATACGAGGTGAATACTTGTGTAGCAAATAATAAAAAGCTTCAAAATTCTAGACTACCTGAAAACGTTTGACTGTATTGTCTTTAACATGTTTTATCGACAATTCAAACTAGTAATTAATAACTGAATGTTAGCTAGATGCCATGGAGAAGTACAGGGATAATAAGGGCAGGTTCTCCGAAAGGGTCAGTGTCTTCTTCGCCGATGAATCCCGTCAGGTATGCATTTTCTCACTACATTTATTTGGATTTCTGCTACATTTATTAATTCACTTGACTATTCTGCTATATTTATTAATTCGTCCTGTAGACGATTTTTTTACAAAACGTAGCCTTGGGGTACAAGATAACTGAGGGGGTAAAAGATACGTGCTTTTTTGATTATTTTATTCTGTTGTAGTATTGTTTCACAGTGGCTGTTTGGCTGTTTATCTTTGTTATATGTTTCATATGTGAGTGTTCATGTTTCTGCCTTGAAAAAGGGGCGGAGTAACCTTAGAATTTGACATTTGAATTTGAATTAGAAATTGTCGTTATCTGTTTGTTTATATATATATATATAACACTTTCAACAGAACAGTTATCATCATTAAGCCCCGACTGTTCCAATCAATAAGTAATAACTTTTAACGTTAAATATCAAGCAATCGAAATGGTAACTTCTTTAGTTTGTTGTTTAATTTCGGATCGCAGTATATATCCTCATATAAATATGGGGCAAAGAAGTAATTCCAACAGTGTGGACAATTTTAGGAGCGATCCGCTCCTTTATCAAGACACAGTGAAACAGAACAGTTACATGTACATATACATCATATTACAAGAAGATAGAGAACTGATATACTTAAATTGAAAATAATATACATATATACACTGTGAAATATGCCTTATATTAGGTTATGTCATACGATATTTGCTGATAACAATACCAAACGTACATGTTCTATGTAGAGTAGCACATCGTTTTATGCTTTACACAATCCATTACTAAATTATTGCGACGAAATTATAAATACTCGATTAATAAATATTATATATAAGGTGAAATTGGAACAAAACTGAATAAAAACCAATCATGGATTTAATATCGAAATAATTATAGTTCGAAATAAAAAGGAAGAAACATAAACTGATTTAGGGGTTGAGATTTAATGCAGGGTTTCTATTATTTTGGACAGTTAAACTTTCGGCATAGGCCGAAACAAAAGAAAAAAAACATTTTTTGATATGGTTTATTATTACAAATATTTACATTCCTATCGGGACAAGGTAAAGTGTAAGATAACTTTTAAGCTTGTTCTTACAAATCATACCGTTTCAGGGAAAGAAATTCATTTATATCATGTGGCTTTACGACCTTGCATTAAAAATGTATTTCTATCAAAGATATATAATAAGATTCCTTTACAGTAAACTAATCATATGATGTAAATGGAGAGGTGTAAAGCCGAGAGCTCCTGTACAGTGCCCGGGCTTTGACCTGGTATTCTATTCTTGTTTCTTTATTGAATAGACTACAGTGTAACTCTCTTCATTGACGTTTTTACCTCGTTAAGGAAATAAAGTTTGCCCGGTGGTGGCGATCATCTTGGATTTTGTGAAGTATTTCGAACAGCCAGTTTGAGTTCAGTACCCCTTAGTATTTCCGGAAAACTATTTATGTGATAAATTAACTTTATTTTTGGATTCTTCTGGATGGGATAAGTTGATTTTTTTTAGCTCAGTTGAAGTGTGAAAGTGGATAATGACACTTTTAATTCTTTCTTAAGCACCATTTGGAACTATGTGGGCAGTTCGAGAGGGTACATGTATATCAAAGAAATGCAAAATCTATCGATTCTGAGTCGCCTTGGAACAAATGCGTTGAACTCCTAGCAAACCAATATCGAACTTCCTAATAAAGATTGTATACCTACCTATTCCTTGATCAGCCATTTAGAATGAATGTAGGAGGGTTTCCATACTCACTTATAAATAATTCATCATCATCATCATCATCATCATCGACGTCGTCGTCGTCTTCGTCGTCTTTCCACTTATCATTGCTTCATACACAATCGTGGTCGATTAGTATGTGGAACATTAGTTAATAGAACGTTTATATTTTAGAGACAATCGTGATATCGTGTCCCGGATATAAAGACCCTTTTTAGTTCGTAGATTTGAAGACAACAATTAGCTAAATATAAGACATCGGTCTGTTGTATAAACTTGGATTCCATTAATCCATCCTCTCTTTTACGGCATTTACAATCTATGCATCATCTCTCAATTTCAGTCCTTACGCGATATTTTAACTATTATTTGTTATTTTAACCCATTCAAGATTGTTTTCTTAATTTTCTACGCCTATGCTGATGGCTATAAAACGTACGAGTTATTGTCGTATTTTGATTCTGTTTTGTCAAATAGTCATCTCATCCTAAACAGATTATACTTGCCCTAAATTACTATAAATTTCGTTTGGCCGTTAAACACAAACAAATTGTCAGTCATTTTACACTACCATGCAGTTTACCAGTAAACGTTCCACATATTATCTAGCTATACAACTAACCCGAGGGGATTTAGACGGAACCATCAATTGATTGTATACATTTTATACCTATGTACTGTAAAGCACATTAGAGTGGCTTATCCTAGCTAGAAAGGTCGCTATATCAAATGTTGGATATTATAATTATCATTATTATCAAATTAGCAAGAACGTTTTGTGTGTATTACAATGACACAAGCATGCAGACAGGGTTATATGGATATGCGGTAGTAACTTATGTGTTTCTTGAAAAAATATAAAAGTTTTTTGATAATATTTTAAAGTCTTTAAGTTGAGTCTATTCACGGGTTACATATTCTACTGTGTGATAAGGGATACTTACATGCTTATATACATTTAATTATATGTCAGGAAAAGTTTGTTGAAATATTTAAATACCTAAAAATATATCAATAAATAAATAAATGACTCATTCATATGCATGCTATGTAATTTTATTTATATTTTGAACAAAATAAGCAAGGTTCATACATGATATACAGGTTAGTGCAAGTATGCTCTCTATTTTTTTCAGCTTCAACGACTTAAAGTTAAATTACTTCACTAAAACCAACTTCTTAACATGATGCAAATGAGAAAGCAGATCATGTAACCGCCATTAACACCAATGGTTAAATCTACATTGCATTTCTTATGTAGAATATTCAGGTATACTTCTATACATCCTGTTCAATATGCTTGTTAAGGCGTGCGGATTTCTAAATTTATTCCGAACGAACATATTTCATTAATTAATGGTAACATAACATTTTTTCTAAAATGGTTAATATAAAGCGAAGAAGGAGCAATTCATGAACAAAAGGAAAATGTGTCGGATACCCATGACATCAGTTTAACACAGAAATAAACATCAAAAGCGATCTAAGGTTATGTGTTTGTACGAAACATAGCTCTAAAAGACGCCACTATTCAATATCGTATAGTATGTTGCATATTGCTATACAATTGTAGGGACTAAAATCTTGTTTAAAATAAATCTAATATATAGCAAAAATATGACTTAATAGTAAATTGTATTAGTAAACAAAAAAAAATAAAAAAAAAACGGAGAGAATGTAAAAGTACGAAAGTGATGCTATCTACATCAATAAGCCTTAATCTAACCATTATTTATTAAAAATGCCTGCCCCAATGCACCTTAGGTTTTCGTATTGACAGAAGCATCTTCTTAATGTCGTTTTGGATATATCTGAGGCACAGCTGCGAACGATTTCGTTGACAATGTCATTCAGTTGGTTAGCACGATAGTATATCAATTTCGAGTCCTGGGTTCCAATTCCGGTCTACCCCCGCTAAATTTTACATTAAAATGTGTGCCTTCAAAAACCATTTTTATGATATTCTAATCATAATATACCGTTTTTGTTTTACTATAAAGCATGTACTTATTATGGACAGTAATTGGATATTTACGGCTTCTATTCCTCTATTTTTTTTAGTCAATGATATATCTGCAATTGTCGAGTATACAAGACTTTCATTTGTGTCGACTTTTGTCCATTTTTACCAGGTCATGGAGTCTATATATCTTTGAATAGACTGACATCAATGTCCGTATACGAATCACATCTCTTCAAGTCTTCTACCCTGTAACAGATATGTAAACAAACATGTTAAGTCTTCTACCCTGTACCAAATTTATAACTAGGTTTTAAGTAGATAACATTTACGCTTATATAATAATGACTATGAAAGCAATATTAAACCTTTCATACTCGTTTTTAATTTAATTACATATATGCTAACCTGATACTGACATTACAGACAACATGTAAACATGCATTACTTGTTTATAATTAGATAACATGTATGACTGTCTATAGTGACATTGAACGTAATATGGTGAAAATGACATTCAATAAACAACTTCTGTGTTTATATTAATAGAAGGGTTTTATATGGGTTGGCTTTTATGGACGCCAAATATATCAAAATTCAAAATCTTCGGGTGAAATTCAATTCCCTGTCTCTTTAATGAAAAATAAAAGAAAGAAACATTTATTTGAAGGTTTGAATTTTCATGACTTTTGAACCCAAAAATGGCCAAAATGGTCAATGCTTTTTCAATGGGGCATTGCAGTTGGCAAAATATTCTTTATACAACAATGGTTGCAATATTTAGACACATTATGTACATTTCACACACTTAGTAATGTTTCTTTGTTTGAATTTAAATAAACACGATTCCTGATGTCTTTTATTGCTTATTCAGCGTTATTGATGAATATCATTATAAACCTAACGTATCTAAATTGCAGATTTTCCATTCAACTTTATTATCATAAATACGTAACAGTATATATAACTGACACATATTTTTCTGTAGTAAAAAAACACATTAATAATTTAAATATGATAGTATCGTAGCACTATATGAATATTGCTTTGTATCACTTTTCCACCTGTTCATAGTAAGTAGCTCGATTGTCGAAAAGGCTATATCGTAGATAAACATAATAAAAATACGTTAGTCAATCATAACTAAAAAAATGTATTTAGACCCAGTTCAATACACGGCCTTATTATGACCATAAGAAGGAATTACCCCTTTTAGTTACTGTTTCTCACAGAAAGTTATATCAAAAATCTTAACTACCTTAGGAACGTAAAAAGCAAAACTATTTTATATTTAAAGTGAAACAATATCAAACGTTTCATGTTCCCGTTGAATGAAAACTACTAAAAAGGGAAAAATGGGCGGAAAAGTGTACCAAATACATATTTCCGGTTAATTAAATATCGCTTCATCTAAAGTTACGACAAGACAATGGTCTATAACAAAGGTATACAACTGTTAAAACTGACAGAAAAATCTTACAGAAAAGACGGATTAATATTGTCCCCATTTGAGTATGAAGACTTCACAACGGAACACAAGATATTTAATACTCTTAAACGGAAGCTCTGACTAGAGCAGTGGAACCTGAATACAATTGTAGTCACCCAGTACTTACTTAGGAAGGCTGAACACGTTGTTTGTATTAACTCAGTACTTACTTAGGAAGGCTGAACACGTTGTTTGTATTCAGTCAGTACTTACTTAGGAAGGCTGAACACGTTGTTTGTATTCAGTCAGTACTTACTTAGGAAGGCTGAACACGTTGTTTGTATTCACTCAGTACTTACTTAGGAAGGCTGAACACGTTGTTTGTATTCACTCAGTACTTACTTAGGAAGGCTGAACACGTTGTTTGTATTCACTCAGTACTTACTTAGGAAGGCTGAACACGTTGTTTGTATTCACTCAGTACTTACTTAGGAAGGCTGAACACGTTGTTTGTATTCACTCAGTACTTACTTAGGAAGGCTGAACACGTTGTTTGTATTCACTCAGTACTTACTTAGGAAGGCTGAACACGTTGTTTGTATTCACTCAGTACTTACTTAGGAAGGCTGAACACGTTGTTTGTATTCACTCAGTACTTACTTAGGAAGGCTGAACACGTTGTTTGTATTCACTCAGTACTTACTTAGGAAGGCTGAACACGTTGTTTGTATTCACTCAGTACTTACTTAGGAAGGCTGAACACGTTGTTTGTATTCACTCAGTACTTACTTAGGAAGGCTGAACACGTTGTTTGTATTCACTCAGTACTTACTTAGGAAGGCTGAACACGTTGTTTGTATTCACTCAGTACTTACTTAGGAAGGCTGAACACGTTGTTTGTATTCACTCAGTACTTACTTAGGAAGGCTGAACACGTTGTTTGTATTCACTCAGTACTTACTTAGGAAGGCTGAACACGTTGTTTGTATTCACTCAGTACTTACTTAGGAAGGCTGAACACGTTGTTTGTATTCACTCAGTACTTACTTAGGAAGGCTGAACACGTTGTTTGTATTCACTCAGTACTTACTTAGGAAGGCTGAACACGTTGTTTGTATTCACTCAGTACTTACTTAGGAAGGCTGAACACGTTGTTTGTATTCACTCAGTACTTACTTAGGAAGGCTGAACACGTTGTTTGTATTCACTCAGTACTTACTTAGGAAGGCTGAACACGTTGTTTGTATTCACTCAGTACTTACTTAGGAAGGCTGAACACGTTGTTTGTATTCACTCAGTACTTACTTAGGAAGGCTGAACACGTTGTTTGTATTCACTCAGTACTTACTTAGGAAGGCTGAACACGTTGTTTGTATTCACTCAGTACTTACTTAGGAAGGCTGAACACGTTGTTTGTATTCACTCAGTACTTACTTAGGAAGGCTGAACACGTTGTTTGTATTCACTCAGTACTTACTTAGGAAGGCTGAACACGTTGTTTGTATTCACTCAGTACTTACTTAGGAAGGCTGAACACGTTGTTTGTATTCACTCAGTACTTACTTAGGAAGGCTGAACACGTTGTTTGTATTCACTCAGTACTTACTTAGGAAGGCTGAACACGTTGTTTGTATTCACTCAGTACTTACTTAGGAAGGCTGAACACGTTGTTTGTATTCACTCAGTACTTACTTAGGAAGGCTGAACACGTTGTTTGTATTCACTCAGTACTTACTTAGGAAGGCTGAACACGTTGTTTGTATTCACTCAGTACTTACTTAGGAAGGCTGAACACGTTGTTTGTATTCACTCAGTACTTACTTAGGAAGGCTGAACACGTTGTTTGTATTCACTCAGTACTTACTTAGGAAGGCTGAACACGTTGTTTGTATTCACTCAGTACTTACTTAGGAAGGCTGAACACGTTGTTTGTATTCACTCAGTACTTACTTAGGAAGGCTGAACACGTTGTTTGTATTCACTCAGTACTTACTTAGGAAGGCTGAACACGTTGTTTGTATTCACTCAGTACTTACTTAGGAAGGCTGAACACGTTGTTTGTATTCACTCAGTACTTACTTAGGAAGGCTGAACACGTTGTTTGTATTCACTCAGTACTTACTTAGGAAGGCTGAACACGTTGTTTGTATTCACTCAGTACTTACTTAGGAAGGCTGAACACGTTGTTTGTATTCACTCAGTACTTACTTAGGAAGGCTGAACACGTTGTTTGTATTCAGTCAGTACTTACTTAGGAAGGCTGAACACGTTGTCCTGGATAACTTCTAGGCCGAACGCTTCACACATGATCTTGGCAAAGCTCACCTTCTTAATGTTATCAAGTTGAGCTGAAATTGTCAGAGATAAAATTTAATATGGGAAGTTCGTATCAAATTACACAAAGGAGATGGAAATAGCGTAATAGTACAAATAATTGGGGATGGGAAACCTACTTCATCTCCTGAATTAACGTCTTTTGTAATTTGAATGAAAAGAAAAAATCATTATACATGAAAAGTAATGTTTCTTGTATTACATTTGTTTTGTCAAACGTAACTGTATAAAAAATAAAATAACACAATAAAAGCTACATAGCCTTTACAATGTCACAATTTTGTAGTTATCGGTATTAAAGTAAACTTAAAAAAAGTAAAGTAAAGGGGATTTGAAGGTCAGAAATACTGATATCAAAATATATACCTGGAAGAAATCCTTGATCTCCGGTGGTTTCAAAATAGAAACGATCCCCAAACTTCAGACGTTTAAACTGTTCTGCCAATATAGCGGAAAACGTTGGACCAATATGAGCACCATCAACGTTCGTTTCCAACATGGCACCAGGGAATAAGTCAATGTCTCTAACATCACTGCAAACAATGAACAGTGTACGTCATCTCTATGAGATTACAAAATAAATAAGTGATATTCTACACTGTTTACTTACACATTTTTTATAAACGGGTCAAAGAAGTAATATCTATGGTAACTTACCAAATAACGCTGGATCCTTGCAAACATAGGATTGTAGGGTACGAATAACTTAAAATTGGTATATGGGGCAGGGAATTAATTATAACAGTGTAGAGAAAATAATTTCAAAATTTTGGAGCAATCCACTCCTTTATTGAGACACAGAAACACACAAAACAATTACTGTATGGCGTTTTAAATTCGCGGGATCAATATTTCGCGGTTTCGCATTCAGTACATATTCTCAGGAGTTAAATTTCGCGGTGCACCCAAATCCCATGTGTCGTGCAAGTAGTTTGAGTGTCATCATTTAAGGAGTAAACCTCGAAATAAAGGTAAACCATTTGAATACACTAATCCCAGCCGTCGTCATCCGCTAGTGACTTAACTCGAAAGAAAATCATATTGTACTTTTGTAGGAGTAAACGGTAATCAATTAATCACCTCCTGTGTACACATCAATATGTTGTCGCTACTTACATGTAAGTGTTGTTTTTACGTGGACTGCCCAGTTTTCCGGTTATAATCTGATTTGTGTTCATTTGAGCTTGCATAACAGCGTTGGGTCATAAGAATGATGTTGTGAGAAGGTCCGTAAAAGTGGTTAACATTTTCGATGAAAACTCCCGAAACATCTTTTTGTTAGGTAAATTTATAATGAATATATGATTTTGCGAACGATATATTATCAAAATTTAGTGAGGGGGAGAAAAAGAAGTATTACAAGTAAATGACAAAATTACACACCGAGATGCAGATATTTCGTACACGAAATCTGACAGATTCTGTCAATCTCGTACACTGGCAAGTAACAGCTATCGTGTGAGTCAGCAGACCAAAATTAGTGAATCAGGTTGTCAAATACCCATCGGAAAGGGAAACACACGGAGAATAAGTGCTTAACATTCGTTGATACCTAGAGGGGGCGGGTTTGTAGGTTGGTAAACCAGTACCATTCCCTCGAGCGCCATCTCGATTAATTTCAGATTGGACAATGATCTATGGCAACCATGTCCAACTGTGGTTAGACAGCTTAAAGTGCCTTGACACAAGGAAATCTGGTTTGCTATGCTAAATGGAGCAGCGCTGTTTGTTGAGTTCACCCCCATATTGTATATCACCTTTTATTTGCAGGAAATAAGGTATACTACATTAACTGATATGCTTGTCAGTTTTGTAATATGTAATATACTTTGCCATTCATTTTACATTGAAATGTATCCGTGGAGTGTGTGTATGGACACAGTTTGCACAATGTTTTGTTGCAGGTTTTGAAAGAGCCTTTTGTTCAACAGAGGCAGATACAGGTAGCTTACTATTTCCTATATCCTTTTATAATTCTAATGTTATTTTTTGTGTAATGTAATTGTTTTGTGTGTGTTTCTGTGACTCGATAAAGGAGCGGATTGCTCCGAAAATTTAAAATCATGTTGTCTATACACTGTTAGAATAACTCCCTTCCCCCAAATATCTTGCAGGAACATCACTTGTTATTAGCTTGAAAAGTTAACTAAATATTGTAAAAAGGGTTTAAAGTTAAATAATTATACGAAATAATGTACTTTGTAGCGCTTTATATTCGCGGGGTCAATATTTCGCGGTTTCGTATTCAGTACATATTCTCGGGGTTTGAATATCGCCGTGCACCCAAATCCCATTTGTCGTGCAAAGTAATTTGAGTGTCATCATTTAGAGGTTAAACCTCGAAACACAGGTAAACCGTTTGAAAACACTGATCCCGAGCGTCGTCACCCGCCAGCGACTTCACTCGAAAGAAAATCAAATATACTTACGCATACGCAGATGCTAGTTTGGCTTGAGCTTCAAGCGTGTGATCCGATAGCTCACTGAAGTCCTTTGGCACTGACAACCCAATCCAGTCACGGAACGCAATATAGCCAGGAAGTCCGTGATCCCGACCCCTTTGTATGTTTAACGCAGTGAGGTCCATGCCATGGGAGGTTGCCGTTTCAAAAAGATGTGTTTTCAAATCGTCTACCAAAAACCTTTTTCAGGGGGAGAGAGAGAATATAGTAAATAAAACAAACGATTAAATTGAACTCGGACTTTTGCCTATTATGATACGAGCATGTCATTTGTTTTCTTGTGATAACTTGAACACTCGGTTGATTCCAACTGATTATAATTCGAATGTTGAGTCTCCATTAACTCGAAAAGTAATCCGTTCGAGGTTTACAGTCATTCTCTTGTATCTGATGCATTTTGAAGGATTGATACAGGTATCCATTTCTTTTCATCTATTTTCTGTAGCACATGTTCACATAATGCGCTTTGTGTTTGAGAATACAGGAAAAAACCACTCAAGACAGTAGTTGGCTGGAGCTCGTTCGAATTAACATAACAACAAATATGTTTATCACATTACTGACCCATTTAACTATACCATATGGCCATGTTAACAATATTGTATTACATACATGTAATAAAACATTAAGGTGCTGCGATTGGAACATATTCGGAACGACAATACTATGATCGGAGTGCTTTGGTTTACACGTTTTAAGAGTCAGCTGATAACACATAATTGTGCTTAAAGTTATTTTTCAAATCATGAATGTTATGTGATAATAAGTCTTACATCTGTGTCGTTGTCATATTTGATTTATTTTTCGTGCAATAATTTGATATTACTAAAGGCTCGTATCACATAAAAGTATTGAACTAATTCAATAAATCCAATGTGTTATGGAAACTCATGTAAGATTCTCTATTTTTTACACAATTTAACAACAGTAACACACATTCTTAATGAGACAGTAAAACTTACGCATCAGATACTTTGCACTGGTAAAGGGACATGGTCCTCGCGATATCAGCAATACTATTGAAAGCAAGACTTGTATTGAAAAAGGAGTCTTTAAGAGGTACTTCATTTTTTCTCCCGAAATTGTCATCAACCGTTGTTATTGTTCCATGGACCAATGTATGACCGTATCTGTAAGTTATAAATGTAACATGAATATAAGTTATGATATAACATAGATATAAGTTATGATATAACATAAATATAAGATATCAATATAAACTAATTTGATACCTCAATGGTGACGGTACAACAATATAAGATAGCGTTCAGAATGAAATCGATGGTTAGTTTCCAAGCATTCCACGAATAGCTTAAAGTTGGAAATATTTCTAAATGTAGTTGTTGGATCGGACAAAGTTTCGCAATGTGCTTTGTGCACGACGTGAACCCCAAGTGAGACGGTGTGCAACGTTAATCACAAGATGATAAAAAAACCTTGGGGATAATAGGTATCGTATGTGATAACAAGCAGGTTCGTGGAATTTATATCCCCCGATTGCAGGACATATTGTACGTAAACATTATTGAGGTTAGGTGTAAACATGTGAGTATCGTGCTGTTGAGACATAATGATTAGCTTGAAACTCAAAGAAATTTTGTATTGAACATGTAGGTATATAATGACGTTTTTCGTTATTCAAGGGGCCATAACTCTGCCAAATAAAGTCCGCTGAAACTGGTCATCAAACTTGGTTGAGCACTTAAGGCATTTAACCCTGTTACTAAGTTATAAGAAAATAGGTTAACATTTGTTGCAGTTATTGCACGGAAACGAAGCGTGACAGACAGACAGACAGACAGACTGACAGACGGACAGACGGACAAACCTAAATTAATGTCCCCCGTTTCGGTGAAAGTGGGGGATAATCAGATTTTAAACAACGGCCTTTTCATTGTGCTGTCTGACAGTTTAATCAAATCATTTAGCTCATGCTTACAGTTCAATCACGATAACTAGTACAGGATAGGTTCCATGACTTAAAGTTTCATTAGTATAACTGGTTAAGGATAGGGAAACATGGCTTACTGTTTAATCTGAATAACTAGTGTAGGATAAGGTAGCATGGCTTACAGTCAAATAATGATAACTAGTGTAGAATAGGGAAACATGGCTTTACAGTTTAATCTGAATAACTAGTGTAGGATAAGGTAACATGGCTTACTGTCAATTCATGATAACTAGTGTAGGATAGGGGAACATGGCTTACATCTTCATTAGAATAACGAGTGCAAATTAGGGGAACATGGCTTACAGTTTAATCTGAATAACTAGTGTGGGATAGGGTAACACGGCTTACAGCTTTATCAGGATAACTAGTGTGGGATAGGGTAACACGGCTTACAGCTTTATCAGGATAACTAGTGTGGGATAGGGTAACACGGCTTACAGCTTTATCAGGATAACTAGTGTGGGATAGGGTAACACGGCTTACAGCTTTATCAGGATAACTAGTGTGGGATAGGGTAACACGGCTTACAGCTTTATCAGGATAACTAGTGTGGGATAGGGTAACACGGCTTACAGCTTTATCAGGATAACTAGTGTGGGATAGGGTAACACGGCTTACAGCTTTATCAGGATAACTAGTGTGGGATAGGGTAACACGGCTTACAGCTTTATCAGGATAACTAGTGTGGGATAGGGTAACACGGCTTACAGCTTTATCAGGATAACTAGTGTGGGATAGGGTAACACGGCTTACAGCTTTATCAGGATAACTAGTGTGGGATAGGGTAACACGGCTTACAGCTTTATCAGGATAACTAGTGTGGGATAGGGTAACACGGCTTACAGCTTTATCAGGATAACTAGTGTGGGATAGGGTAACACGGCTTACAGCTTTATCAGGATAACTAGTGTGGGATAGGGTAACACGGCTTACAGCTTTATCAGGATAACTAGTGTGGGATAGGGTAACACGGCTTACAGCTTTATCAGGATAACTAGTGTGGGATAGGGTAACACGGCTTACAGCTTTATCAGGATAACTAGTGTGGGATAGGGTAACACGGCTTACAGCTTTATCAGGATAACTAGTGTGGGATAGGGTAACACGGCTTACAGCTTTATCAGGATAACTAGTGTGGGATAGGGTAACACGGCTTACAGCTTTATCAGGATAACTAGTGTGGGATAGGGTAACACGGCTTACAGCTTTATCAGGATAACTAGTGTGGGATAGGGTAACACGGCTTACAGCTTTATCAGGATAACTAGTGTGGGATAGGGTAACACGGCTTACAGCTTTATCAGGATAACTAGTGTGGGATAGGGTAACACGGCTTACAGCTTTATCAGGATAACTAGTGTGGGATAGGGTAACACGGCTTACAGCTTTATCAGGATAACTAGTGTGGGATAGGGTAACACGGCTTACAGCTTTATCAGGATAACTAGTGTGGGATAGGGTAACACGGCTTACAGCTTTATCAGGATAACTAGTGTGGGATAGGGTAACACGGCTTACAGCTTTATCAGGATAACTAGTGTGGGATAGGGTAACACGGCTTACAGCTTTATCAGGATAACTAGTGTGGGATAGGGTAACACGGCTTACAGCTTTATCAGGATAACTAGTGTGGGATAGGGTAACACGGCTTACAGCTTTATCAGGATAACTAGTGTGGGATAGGGTAACACGGCTTACAGCTTTATCAGGATAACTAGTGTGGGATAGGGTAACACGGCTTACAGCTTTATCAGGATAACTAGTGTGGGATAGGGTAACACGGCTTACAGCTTTATCAGGATAACTAGTGTGGGATAGGGTAACACGGCTTACAGCTTTATCAGGATAACTAGTGTGGGATAGGGTAACACGGCTTACAGCTTTATCAGGATAACTAGTGTGGGATAGGGTAACACGGCTTACAGCTTTATCAGGATAACTAGTGTGGGATAGGGTAACACGGCTTACAGCTTTATCAGGATAACTAGTGTGGGATAGGGTAACACGGCTTACAGCTTTATCAGGATAACTAGTGTGGGATAGGGTAACACGGCTTACAGCTTTATCAGGATAACTAGTGTGGGATAGGGTAACACGGCTTACAGCTTTATCAGGATAACTAGTGTGGGATAGGGTAACACGGCTAACAGCTTTATCAGGATAACTAGTGTGGGATAGGGTAACACGGCTAACAGCTTTATCAGGATAGCTAGTGTGGGATAGGGTAACACGGCTTACAGCTTTATCAGGATAACTAGTGTTAGATAGGGGAACATGGCTTACAGTTTAATAACGTTTGATAGTGTAGGATAAGTTTGCATGTATTCAGTGTTTTCAGTTTTACTTCATACTCGGACAACATTCCTGTTAAACATATTGCAAAGTTTAAAAAACGACTGGCCTATTCTCAAAGTATAAAACAAGTTTGTGTTCGAGTTAATGTTGGTCACTTTTGTCCCCCAGAATGAAATGGACAGGGCGTCTTTAATATGGGAGGAAACCGGAATTTCCGTGTTCACATCACATGATCGGGCTGGAGATGACACATTTCTCATGTCAGATTTGGGTGTCGATTCGAGGCCGTCTTGGTGACGGACGAGTGCGCTATCCACTGCGCTACCCGACTGAGTAAATAGCAGACAATGATGCGAAAGTTCCATGCCAACACAAAGTTATTCTGAGATGTAAGAGTGTTTACCTAAAGGCTGCCCCAGCGAAAGCGTTCAAGATAGTTGCGTCGATTGTGTCGTTATAGTTGAACGTAGATCCAACTGTTAATCCTTCTTTATCCATCAAATCTGCGCCGATGACGCTAGGTAGCCATTGTCCGTAGAGGGTATTCTGCAGAATTGCCCCAATAATTTTCCTAGCTATTTGGTATATGTCTTCATCTATTGAAAGTCCCTGAAATACTAGCCTATCACACAGGGCGTTGTGGTAGCGTACAAATGCCGTATGTAAAGCCATGAGCTGAGGATTCTCGTTCACTCTGACGTCACCTGAAATACGTTAAAACAACATTACGTCACAAAGTTGACAATACTTTTCCAATCAACTCCTTTATTTAATCTTCAATAATAAGATTTTATATTCCCTGCTCAGTCTCAAAATTTCATTTCTTTCCCGTTGTTTAAAATCGGCTCAAATTAGATTGATATACATTCTTGTCGTAATAATGAATTACATTAACATGTTTGAAATTGTGAGATAAACAAAATTATATGTACTTAAAATGATTATTTACTTATGTTATCTAACCTTGTTACTACCGTCAGCGTTATGAGAACGAAAAGTTCAAATACACAAAATAACTCAATAACTATTGAAAGGCTTTTGGTTATATCATCTCCAGGTACACTGTGATTAAAGGCTTATTGAGTCTCTAGAAGCAAGGGAGACATCATTTTATTATTCCTCCATTCTTTAATTACTTTTCTACCTCGAAACAATCTCAGTGCATTTTCCAAGCAGATACTAGCTGGATACTTCAAGTGATCACATGGTTATCAAACATGATCAGGTTTGACATCAAACATTGTCAGGTCGGTTATCAAACATGTTCAGGTCGGACACCAAACATGGTCAGGTCGGTTATCAAACATGGTCAGGTCGGTCATCAAACATGGTTAGGTCGGTCATCAAACATGGCCAGGTCGGTTATCAAACATGGTCAGGTCGGTCATCAAACATGGTCATGTCGGTCATCAAACATGGCCAGGTCGGTAATCAAACATGGTCAGGTCGGTCATCAAACATGGTCATGTCGGTCATCAAACATGGATAGGTCGGTCATCAAACATGGTCAGGTCTGACATCAAACATGGTCAGGTCGGTCATCAAACATGGTCAGGTCTGACATCAAACATGGTCGGGTCGGTTATCAAACATGACCAGGTCGGACATCAAACATGGTTAGGTCGGACATTACAATGGTCAGATCAGTTATCAAACATGGTTAGATTTTACATCAAACATGGTCAGGTCGGTGATCATACATGGTTAGGTCGGTTATCAAACATGATCAGCAAGGACATTAAACATTGCCAGGTCGGACATCAAACATGGTTAGATTTTACATCAAACATGGTCAGGTCTTTTTTCAAACATTGTCAGGTCGTTTATCAAACATGGCTACATAGGACATCAAGCAAGCTCAGGTTGGTCGTCAAACATGGTTAGGGTAGACATCAAACATGATCAGGTCGGTTATCAAACATATTTCAGTCGGTCTTCAAACATGGTCATGTCGGTTATCAAACATGGTCAGGTCGGAAATCAAACATGGTCAGGTCTGACATCAAACATGGTCAGGTCGGTCATCAAACATGGTCAGATCTGACATCAAACATGGTCAGGTCGGTCATCAAACATGGTCAGGTCGGTTATCAAACATGGTCAGGTCGGTTATCAAACATGGCCAGGTCGGACATCAAACATGGTCAGGTCGGACACTAAACATGGTCAGGTCTGACAACAAACATGGTCAGGTCTGTGATCAAACATGGTCAGGTTTGACATCAAACATTGTCAGGTCGGTTATCAAACATATTTCCGTCGGTCTTCAAACATGGTCCTGTCGGTTATCAAACATGGACAGGTCGGAAATCAAACATGGCCAGGTCGGACATCAAACATGGTCAGGTGGGACACTAAACATTGTCAGGTCTGACATCAAACATCGTCAGGTCGGTCATCAAACATTGTCAGGTCTGATATCAAACATGGTCAGGTCGGCCATCAAACATGGTCAGGTCCGTCATCAAACATGGTCAGGGCGGTAATCAAACATGGTCAGGTTTGACATCAAACATGATCAGGTCTGACATCAAACATTGTCAGGTCGTAAATCAAACATGGTCAGGTCCGTCATCAAACATGGTCAGGGCGGACACTAAACATGGTCAGGTCTGACAACAGACATGGTCAGGTCTGTGATCAAACATGGTCAGGACTACTAGCTGGATACTTCAAGTGATCACATGGTTATCAAACATGATCAGCAAGGACATTAAACATTGCCAGGTCGGACATCAAACATGGTCAGGCCTTACATCAAACATGGTCAGGTGGGACACTAAACATTGTCAGGTCTGACATCAAACATCGTCAGGTCGGTCATCAAACATGGTCATGTGGGTCATCAAACATGGCCAGGTCTGACATCAAACATGGCCAGGCCGGTTATCAAACATGGTCATGTCGGTGATCAAACATGGTTAGGTCTGACATCAAACATGTTAAGGTCGGTCATCAAACATGGCCAGGTCGGTTATCAAACATATTTCAGTCGGTCTTCAAACATGGTTAGGTCGGACATTACAATGGTCAGATCAGTTATCAAACATGGTCAGGGCGGACACTAAACATGGTCAGGTCTGACACCAAACATGGTCAGGTCTGTGATCAAACATGGTCAGGTCTTACATCAAACATGGTCAGGCCTTACATCAAACATGGTCAGGTGGGACACTAAACATTGTCAGGTCGGACATCAAACATGGTTAGATTTTACATCAAACATGGTCAGGCCTTACATCAAACATGGTCAGGTCTATTTTCAAACATTGTCAGGTCGTTTTTCAAACATGGCTTCATAGGACATCAAGCAAGGTCAGGTTGGTCGTCAAACATGGTTAGGATAGACATCAAACATGGTCAGGTCTGGGAGCAAACAAGGTCAGGTCGGTCATCAAAAACATGGTCAGATCTGACATCAAACATGGTCATGTCAGTCATCAAACATGGATAGGACGGTCATCAAACATGGTCAGGTCTTTTTTCAAACATTGTCAGGGCGTTTTTCAAACATGGCTACATAGGACAGCAAGCAAGGTCAGGTTGGTCGTCAAACATGGTTAGGGTAGACATCAAACATGATCAGGTCGTTCATCAAACATGGTCAGGTCGTACATCAAACATGGTCAGGTGGGACACTAAACATTGTCAGGTCGGACATCAAACATGGTCAAGCCGGACCCTAACCATGGTCAGGTCTGACAACAGACATGGTCAGGTCTGTGATCACCCATGGTCAGGTTTGACATCAAACATGATCAGGTCGGTTATCAAACATATTTCAGTCGGTCTTCAAACATGGTCATGTCGGTTATCAAACATGGTCAGGTCGGAAATCAAACATGGTCAGGTCTGACATCAAACATGGTCAGGTCGGTCATCAAACATGGTTAGGTCGGTCATCAAACATGGCCAGGTCGGACATCAAACATGGTCAAGACGGACACTAAACATGGTCAGGTCTGACAACAAACATGGTCAGGGCTGTGATCAAACATGGTCAGGTCTGACATCAAACGTGGTCAGGTCCGACATCAAACATGGTCAGGTCGGTCCTCAAAAACCTGGTCAGATCTGACATCAAACATGGTCAGGTCGGTCATCAAACATGGTCAGATCTGACATCAAACATGGTCAGGTCGGTCATCAAACATGGTTAGGTCGGTCATCAAACATGGCCAGGTCGGACATCAAACATGGTCAAGTCGGTCACTAAACATGGTCAGGTCTGACAACAAACATGGTCAGGGCTGTGATCAAACATGGTCAGGTCTGACATCAAACATGGTTAGGTCGGTCATCAAACATGGTCAGGTCGGTTATCAAACATGGTTCGTCATCAAACATGGCCAGGTCGGACATCAAACATGGTCAGGTCTGACATCAAACATGGCCAGGTCGGTCATCAAACATTGTCAGGTCGGTTATCAAACATGGTCAGATCGGTTATCAAACATGATCAGGTCTGACATCAAACATGGTCAGGTCGGTCATCAAACATGGTTAGGTCGGTCATCAAACATGGTCAGGTCGGTTATCAAACATGATCAGCAAGGACATTAAACATTGCCAGGTCGGACATCAAACATGGTTAGATTTTACATCAAACATGGTCAGGTCGGTTATCAAACATGGTTCGTCATCAAACATGGCCAGGTCGGACATCAACCATGGTCAAGTCGGACACTAAACAAGGTCAGGTCTGACAACAAACATGGTCAGGTCTGTGATCAAACATGGGCAGGTCTGACATCAAACATGGTCAGGTCCGACATCAAACATGGTCAGGTCGGTCATCAAACATTGCCAGGTCGGACATCAAACATGGTCAAGTCGGACACTAAACATGGTCAGGTCTGACAACAAACATGGTCAGGTCTGTGATCAAACATGGGCAGGTCTGACATCAAACATGGTCAGGTCCGACATCAAACATGGTCAGGTCGGTCATCAAAAACATGGTCAGATCTGACATCAAACATGGTCAGGTCGGTGATCAAACATGGTCAGGTCTGACATCAAACATGGTCGGGTCGGTTATCAAACATGACCAGGTCGGACATCAAACATGGTTAGGTCGGACATTACAATGGTCAGATCAGTTATCAAACATGGTTAGATTTTACATCAAACATGGTCAGGTCGGTGATCATACATGGTTAGGTCGGTTATCAAACGTGATCAGCAAGGACATTAAACATTGCCAGGTCGGACATCAAACATGGTTAGATTTTACATCAAACATGGTCAGGTCGGTTATCAAACATGATCAGCAAGGACATTAAACATTGCCAGGTCGGACATCAAACATGGTTAGATTTTACATCAAACATGGTCAGGTCTTTTTTCAAACATTGTCAGGTCGTTTTTCAAACATGGCTACATAGGACATCAAGCAAGGTCAGGTTGGTCGTCAAACATGGTTAGGGTAGACATCAAACATGATCAGGTCGGTTATCAAACATATTTCCGTCGGTCTTCAAACATGGTCATGTCGGTTATCAAACATGGTCAGGTCGGAAATCAAACATGGTCAGGTCTGACATCAAACATGGTCAGGTCCGACATCAAACATGGTCAGGTCGGTCCTCAAAAACCTGGTCAGATCTGACATCAAACATGGTCAGGTCGGTCATCAAACATGGTTAGGTCGGTCATCAAACATGGCCAGGTCGGTTATCAAACATGGTCAGGTCGGTCATCA